TGAATATAAATATTTAAATAAATTTTTACATTTTTCTATTTAAAAATCTATAAAAAATAATTAATAAAAAGTAAATTTTTTATAATTCAAAATTATTTCTTTTGGGCGAATTATTGATATAATTTAAATTAAAATAATTTATATGTTTAATATATTTTTTTATATATAAATATATTCTAAAGGTTTATAAAATATATTTGAATATTAAATTCAAATATAGACTAAAAAAATAAATAAAAATAATTATAGAATTAATGTTTTTTTAAATTATAAAAGCAATTCTTTATTATATTAATATTTAAAATATACAAAGCAATTTTTTAATTTTTATAAAATTTCATTTTATTTTCTTCATTTTTAATAAATTTAAATTTTAGTACTTTATTATCTTTATTATACACATATTTTTTTTTTATTTTGCCCTTAAATTTAGCTTTATAATGTATTTTTTTATTAATTTTATTCACTTAAATAATGTATTATATTCTTAATTTAATTTTAATATGATTTTTTTAAAAAAAAAACAAAAATATTTAATAAAATTAAAAAAAAAAAATACCTTTTATTTTTCTATATTATTTTAGTTTTTACTTTATTAATAGAAACTTTAATTAAAATCTTATATTTTCCAATCATTTTTCTATAAATTTAAATATAAATATCTATGTAAATATATTTATATTTTTTTAAAAAAAATATTTACATATTTATTATCTTAAATAAGTTTATCTTTATTCTAATTATAAATTTATGTTAGTTTTTAATGAGTTTTTTATCTCTAAGTATTTTTTTAAATCTAATAATTATCCTACTAAAGAGAAAAAATATTTTATTTTTTTAATTTTCATTTTACAATACTTCTTTTTATTCAATTTATTTTAATAAATTATGCTATAATATATTAATATTTATATCTTTTGTAAATTCTTCTTTATGTGAGTTTTCTTAATTATTTTTTTACTAATAATAGGAGTATTAAAGTCTAATTATATCGTAATATTTTATTAAGTAAGTGCTTACAAAGTTTTCTTTTATTATTATTAATTATCATCTAAAATATGCATTATTTTAAGAATTTCAAAATCTTTTTATTTATGCGATTAATCATAACTTAAGCTTTTTTCAGAATAGGAATAATTACTTTAAGACCTATTCAACTAATCATTTACTAATTTGCAATCATTTTCTACTTATTTTTCAAAAAGAGTGTCATTTGTATAATTATTAGTATATTTTTAATTCTAAAAATTATTTTCTAAATATAAACTTTCACTTCTTTTTTTTTGATTTAAAGAAAGTATTTCAGGTGGATTTTCTAAATACAATTCTTATTCCAAAGGCATGAATTATTATTAAATATGATTAGAGTTTTGATTTTGAGACTTTTCATCTTCTCTTTTTATTTAAGTGAATATTTATTCGACTTTGTTCTTAATTAAATGGATATCGCTTTAGATTGAAATGTCCATATTTTTTGAACGCTATTATAAATAATTTATTAAAGTATTTATTTCTTCCATACACTTAGAATCATTTTTTTATATTATGGAAATTTCCTCTTCTAAAAAAGTATTATTAAAATTATTATTTTGGTTATTATTATAATCACTTAATGTGTTTATAAAATATGATTAATTTTCTATATTTTTTTTGGCTTCATTATTATTATTATTATTGGTCTTATATTTTTCTTATTTTAAATTTATCTAATTTATATCTAAATTAATAGATTTACTTATATATTTATTTTATTTTATTAGATTTTCTTATTTTTAATTACTTTAAGAAAATGCATGCCTTTTAAAATTTACTGTGTTTTTTTCAGAAAAATAATTATTTTAATTATTATGAATATATCCATTCGCAGTTAAAAAAGCCTTATTTTCGCTAAAATTCTTTTCTTAAATATTGTTATTATTCGGTGTACATATAATGAAATTTTTTTATGATTTATTAGTATTATTATTATCATTATCATTTATTTTATTTTATGAGTCTATTCTTTTTGTAAATTCAATTTAACTTTAACAAAAATTTTAAAATCTTGGTTACCTTTATATATTAAAATTCTATTTAGTAGAATTATTACTTGAAAATATTTTCAAACTCTCATCATTACCAATATTTTTACTATTTATTACTTAATCATTATTTATTTATAATATTTATTAAGATTTTCTTAATTTTTAAAATTTATCTTATATAATTTAACTTGTATTTTAACTATCTTAAAATGTCTCATATTCAAAGCCACATTATTTGTATTAGTTTTAGGAATTGTTCAATGTGTTTTTGATATATTAGTTGTTATTTTTTATTTTTTTAATTGGATTTTTAACGTTTTCTTTATTTATTTATTAACAAAAGACTATTTATTCTTATTCTGATTATATATTTTGATCTTGAGAAAAGGCATTTATTTTTTATTATTTTTAATTTGAACAATTTTGTATTTATTAATAAGATACTTGATTTAATTAATTTTAACTTTGTTCATTAATTTTTTAAGAATTATATGTTTTAAGTTATAAATTATTTTTATATTCTAAACTTTTATTAAATATTAATCTATTAATTATAGGTTTTTCTTTTTACTTAATCTTGCTTAATTATTCGATATATTACTATTATCAAATTATTTTGAGTATATATCTTTAGTTTTTTTGATATATTAATAGTTAATACTATAATTTTATCTATTATTAATGTTATTTTTTAGATTAATATTCTAAATACTAATACTTGGTTTATAAATTTGCTCTTCTTCTTCATTTTTTAAAGATTTTAATGTTTAAACATTTGATTTTTATTATTATTTACTACTTTCTTCTGAAGATTAGAGTGTTTTTTTAATTGTTTTTATAAATTAATCTTCTTTTACTAATTATTTGAGAATTTATACTTATCTATTGTTCAGCTATTAATAAATTTATTCATTTTTTAAAGGAGTATATTTAATTTTATTTTATTTTTAATTAGTAGATTATTTTTCTAAGCTTTTTACCTTTTCATTAATAATATTCTAATAATACTAATTTTAAGTTGATTTATGGAGTTAATTTTATAATATACTTTTTGTAGAATATTAACTTTTTTAAATATTATCATCAAAATTTAATTACAAAACAGATTCTGCAATACTTTGACTGGCTTCATGTGTCGGTTGTGCATTATAATATATATTATTAATGGGATTTTCTGTATTTTATTCAAATGCTTCTAAATGGTGAATTGTTTATAAAACTTTTTCTTCTGTATCAGATGGTAAATTTTCTAAACCACTTTCAAATGCTTTTTGTAAAAGAACTTTTTATGCATTTTTATTTGATAACAATTATTTTAATTCTTATTTTTCGATTTCTATACCATTAATTTTAAAATTTTTATCTTTTTATAGTGAAATTTAAATAATTATAAAATATAGTTTTTATTCGTTTTTTTTTTACATTATTAAAATTTTTACCTTGTAATATACTATCGAATTTAATTTTATAATCATTTTAATATGCTTATGAATGCTTTAAAATTTAATTTATTCATTTTAAATTTTTATTTTTTTTTACATTTTCTGAATATTAATTTCCCATTTAAATATATTTTCAAAATAATACCTGATAATTTTTTTATTTATATATTTTTTAAATTGATGTTAAAAATTAATTAATTTAAATAAAAAAATATATAATTAAAAAAAAATGTATGTTAAGTTTTATGAAATTATTAGAATGAATAATAACAATTTATAATAAATTAAATAAAATAATATATAAAATAAATATATATATATATATATATATATATATATTTATATAATATTTTTATTTTTTATAGCTTACTTTTTTTATAGTTATTAAAGTCTTTTAAATGAATACATTAACATATTTTATTTAATTTAATTATTTAGTAAACTTTTTTTTTTATTCATTTCCTACTTTTATATTTTTTTATTTTTTTATATTTATAATTGAGTATTTTGTATCAATTAAATATGTCATATTATATGTTTTTATATTTTTATTAAAGTTTATTTTAATCCATTATTATATTTAAAATTGAATAAGTAAATTTATAATATATTTAATTTTTTTTTATGTATTATTTTTTCAAAATAAAAAAATAGATATGATTAAAATTTTTATTTTTTTATTGAAGAATTTTTAATAACATTTGCTTTTTTAAAACAATTTAATACAAAAAGAGATTTTTTAAAATAATTATAAAAATAAAATATAAAATTAATATATATATATTTATATATATATATTTTTAATATATTTATAAATTAAAATTTAAATATAAATACATATATTTATTAATATATATATTAATAAATGTTTAAAATTTTAAATCATTATTTTATCTTAATTATTTATAATTTTTTATTTTATAAATTTCTTTTTAATATATTTATTATTATTTTTTTTTTTTAAATAACTATATAAGCAATTATTTTTTATATTATTTTACTTTTAAGTATATATAAAAATTTAATATATTTAATTATTTTATAGTGAAAACTTCTAATAATAAATTTATTTATTTTTACTAATATTTATAAATAACAAATTATATAATTTATTTATATGAATATCAATATTTATAAAACTGAATAAAAATTAAAAATAGATAAAATTAGATTTATATCTATATTTCCTTATATTTTACATGTTTTGATAATTCACTAATAAATAAAAAAAATAAAAACATCCTTTTATATACACATTTTAAAGACTGCAATTTTTATAATAATTTTTTTAATTTAATATTACTTTTTCTTTATAAAATATATAATAAATAAAAATATAAAATGGAAAGTCCTGCTATTGAAGATGTTTATAGTTTTGATAAAGTTTTAGGAGAGTAAATATGATTTAAAAATACATAGTATATTACTTTATATTTAAAAAAAAAAGAGGATCATTTGGTATTGTTAAAAAAGCAATAAAGAAAGATACAGGAGAATTATTTGCTGTAAAAATAATAAATAAGTACATTTTTCTTTATATAATAAATAATCATATTTTCATATATAAACTTTTTAGATAAAATTTAGAGAACGACGATATGACAGCACTATAATAGGAAGTAGAAATCCTTACAGAAGTAAAATAAATAAAATAACATAACATAAGTATTTAAAAATAAAACAAAAAAAAGATTGATCATCCTAATGTTGTAAAATTATTCGAAATATATGAAGATGATAATAGTTTTTATATGGTAATGGAATTAATGACAGGAGGAGAAGTAAAAATAAAAACGAATCATATAATATTTTATTAATTAAAAAAATAAAATAAAAAAAAAAGTTATTTTAACGTATTGTTGAAGCCGAGCATTTTTCAGAAAAACAAGCAGCTGAAACTGTAAAAGCAGTAGTTGATGCACTTCATTATTGTCATGAATTAAATATTGCTCATAGAGATTTAAAAGTAAAGCTTCTTTTTTTAATAAAAAAATATATAATTAACTTGAAAAAAAAAAAAAAGCCTGAAAATTTGCTTTATGCATCAAAAGACCCAGGTTCTGTAATAAAAATATCTGATTTTGGTTTGGCAAGATTTATCAATGATTAAACAATGACTACTATGTGTGGTACACCAGGATATGTAGCTCCTGAAATCATTCATGGAAATGGATATAATAAAGCTATTGATTATTGGAGTTTAGGTGTTATTCTTTATATTATGTAAAATAATTTACAAATAGAAATATATGGTATTAATATTTTTAAAAATTTAAAGGCTTTGTGGATTTCCTCCATTTTATAGTGAAAATAATGATGAATTATTTGAAATTATTGTAAAAGGAAAATTCGATTTCCCTTCTCCTGCTTGGGATACTATTTCTAAAGAAGGTTTTTATTTATTTTTTTATTAAATTAATATATTTTTAATGATTTATTTTAATAGCCAAGGATTTAATTAGAGGATTATTAACTACTGATCCTTCTAAAAGATGGAGTTATGAGAAAATTAAAAATCATCTTTGGTTAAATGGAAAAAATTCAGATAAAAGCATTCCAGATATTTAAAAAAATATTAAAAACTTTTCTGCTTCTAAATAATTTAAAGTATTTTATTTTTATTTATTTTATATATAAAATATATAAAGAAAATCAAATTTGTATTGGATGCTGCACATAGATTAAAAATGTCAAAGAATTGAATATATATTAAAAAAAATAAAAAAAAATAAAAAAAATATATTCTATAATAATATATATGTTTTTTTTTTTTCTCTTTATTTTTTAATAATTAAAAATTTCTTTTTTACAATATATAAATAAATACAAACAAAAAAAACTTGAAAAATATAAAGTTTTATTTTCTTGAAAGAAAAAAAAACAAACAAACAAAAATATTACTATATATAACTAAATTTACATATTTAAAAAATATTAAATAGAAAATTTTATTTAATATCACAAATTCTTTTCATTAAATAATATGAATTTAAAAAATAGCAAAAGTAAATAATAATAAACTCAAAATAAAATGAAGTTTAAAACAAAAAAGGAAAATATACTAAAGCAATAAGAAAATTTTATCGAAAAATAATAATGTTTTATTTTTAAACCAAAGCATGTATATCTTTCTTTAAGTTCGTTCAGAAATAATACGAAAATTTAAACGTAATAAAATAATTAAAGCAATTTTTTAACATATAATTAATAATAAAAATATTAAATTTACAATACTCCTTCAAACTAACAAGCCAAAAAATAATAATAAACCGAATTTTTATTCCAAGAGTCATTTTTATTGAATTCCTAAAAAAGATAGCAAATAAAAAATTATATTGTAGATTAGAATAAATCAAATTCTTAAATCTATTCTCCAAAAACAAATTTATCTTAGTAAAACTTCTATAAATAGAAATCTATATATGATAGGGTTAAAATATGGACATAATAAGTAAAAATCCATAAAGAAATGTTAAATTAATATTATGATTAACAATAGATGAAAGAATGCTCTTTTACACCCTATTTATATTAAAAAAATAACACTTAAAGTGTAGTTGATCATGTTAATAATAAAAAAATTGTAGAGTAAAGTTAAAATACATTTTTTCATAGATAAGCTAATATGTAAAGAAGTTCTTATACATAAATGTATAAATTTAAAAAATATAATTATGCTTAATGAAAAAAGAATATAAATATATAACATATATATAAATATATATAAATAAATATATATATATATACATATATAAAATAGTAATTAATTATTATGTTTTTATTTTATTTATATTAGAAAAAAATTTTTAAATTATTTATTTATTGTTTTTTGTATTTTAATTATTTTTTTATTTATAATATTTTTAACTAGCAATTTTTATAATTATATTGTTTTATATCTTAATTTAAATTAATGTTTTTATTAAATTAATAAATTTATTTATTTAAATATAAATAATATAAATAAATATTATAAATATATAATATATTTATATTTTTTTTTTTTTTAAATATATTTATATATATTTATATATATATATATAATTTATTTATATAAGTAATTATAAAATTAATATTTTAGAAAATTAAAAACTATTATTATTTGATAAATAATTTTGTATAAAATTTCGAAAATTTTATATTCATTTAAATCTTTAAAATACAAATTAATTATATTAATAATATCTCAGTATAAATTAAAATTAAAAAATTAATATTAAAAAAAATATTATAGATAAGTTAAATATTAAATTTAAGATACAAAATATATAAAAATAAAAAAATGAATTGATAAAAAGTATATAGATAATAAAATATCATAAATTTTATTAAAAGCTTTTATACTTAAGATAAAAAAAATAACTTTATAGATATTATTTAAATATAAAATTATATTAATATATATATCTTTATTATTATTATTATTATTATTATTTTTTATTATTATTATTATAATTATTTTTATTATTATAATATATTTTTATATTATATATAATTATATATATTTTTTTTATTATCTACTATATTTTTATTTATTTTTAATTCATTATAATATATTTTTTTTTTCTTTGAACAATTATTAAAATATTTTTATATAAAATCTTTTATAAACAAAATCTAATTATTTTTAATCTTATTTTTTTATTTTTATCTTTCTGATTAATCTTTTAAATTTTTTATTATCTTTTTTTTAATTAGAAACATTTTTAATGTAGGTTAAATTTATAAATTATTATTATTTTTCTCTTACATTTTTTATTTATATACTTTATTATTTAATTTCAAAGATATTTTTTTTTCAATTTTTCTATTTTTATAAATCTCTTAAATAAATTAAATAAATTAAGAAAGATATTATCTTATATTAATCTCTTAATATAATATTTTATATTGTATTTATAAAATAAAAAATATATTGTATATATTTTTTATTTTTTAAATATCTTTCTTATATATTTTTTTTTATTATTATAATCTAATAATATAATTTTTTTATTATCTCATTCTAATATTTTTTTTTTCTCAATATTTTTTTTAAATAATAAATAATATTAATATCATATATTCTAAAGTTTATATTATAAATTTTTTAATAATATTTTTACTTATATTAATAATTTTTATATATTTATTATATCCTTTTATTTAATAATTTTAATTAAAGTTTTTATTTTTTTTAATATAAATTAATAATATATCTTAAGTTTTATATTTTATTTATTTTATCCAAAACCATATTTTTTTTAATTCAAAGATTGTAATTTAAGTTAAAACTCATTATAAATAGTATATAATAATACTAAATCTAAGATATTGATTTTTATTATTAATAAATAATTTGTTAAATATTATTAAAATAAAAAAAAAAAAACATTAAATAATATATTTGTTTAATTATATTAAATATATTTAATTTTATTATTTAAATTAAAAATTAAATGAATAGAACATTTCTTAATAAATAAAATTTATAATTTAATGCCGATAAAAGCTTAATAAAATCAAAATCAAGTTTCAAAAATTTACCAACAAATAAAGGAAGTATGATAATATAACAAAAACAATTTAAAATGTTAAAAAATTCCTTAAATTAAATAAAATTCTAAAAAAGTTATTAATCTTAATAACTAAGATATAATAACGATTATTTTAATACAGAAAGATTAATTACGAGAAAAAATAAAGAAAATGATTTTGATAATATAATAAAATCATCTGTAGATGATTAATTAAGAAGTTTTTTTAATAAATAAATAAATAAATTTAAAAATATATATTTGTAAATAAAGGATATTAATATAAAAATAGTCAAGCATTAAAACACAATAGAAAAGGAAAAGTTTATGAATTTATTCATAATTAAAAAGTATAAAATAAATTAAAATATTCAGATAAAAGTAAAATTAATAATACTGCTTTACCTGTTCCGAAAGGCTCAGTTTCTGTAATATTAAATTTAAATAAAAAAGATTAAGGATTTAAAATTGAAAATTTCAAAAAAAAGATATGCGCAAAGTCTAAATTTAAAATGAAATGGAAAACTATATAATGGCTCTTAAAAAATAAATAAGATGTCATTAAGCAAATCTTTTAAAATTATTAATAAATACTTAAATTTGCTAAAATTAAAGTTAAATTATTTTAAAAATAATATATTTATCTTTTGAGAAAAAAAAAAATAAAAAAAAAGAAAAATGGTATGAATAGATAAGAGTTTGGAGAATTATTAAGTTAAGTAGGACTTGGTGCTGAATAAAATTTAGGAGATAAATTATTTTAGTATTATTTTATAAATATATAATTAATTATAAATATATAAAAAGTATTATATAACTATATATAAATAAATATATATATGCATATAAATATATATATATATATATATATATATATATATTTAGTATTTTTGATGAAAATAATTCATAATTAGTCGATTATAAAGAACTTATTATAGGCTTAGAAATGTTTAAAGAAAATACAATAGAAGATAAACTTAAAAGTATTTATATATATTTATAAAAATATAAATATAACAAAAAAGTTTTTATGGAATTATGTGATACTGACGTAGATGGAAATATAACTTAATAATAACTATATAATGTATTAAAATAAAATTTATTTACAAGTGATGCGAAAATAAAACTGAAATAAATAATAAGATAAATATTTAAAGAATGTAATAATAATAAAATTAGAGTTTTAGATAAAAAAGAACTCTTTAATGCTACTTTAAATTGTGATGCTCTAATTTCTTTACTAGACGAATCTGTAAAAATCATTAAAAGGGTTGATAAGCTTATTGTAACTGATTTGGAAGAGCCTTTTCATAATCGTGCTCCTGTATCAGCAAGTTTGTAATTTTTTTGTTTTTTTTTAATATAAATAAATAATATAATATAATATAATATAATATAATATAATATAATATATTATTTAAAAAATATTAGTGGAGTAATAAAAGAAATTGGGCATATAGGAACAGTAAAAAAAATAGAAAGTGTTATAAAAGATATGTAATGTGGATTTTAATTTAGAAGAGATATAAAAAATTTATTAAAAGAATCTATAAATATTGGAAAATCTGAGAAATAATTATAAACACAATAAGATACTTCTTTAAATGATGAAACATTAGTTGATGAATTATGAAAATTTTATTTAATAAAAAAAATAAAAAATATATATTTGTAAATTTTATTTTTAAAAAAAATATATATTTTTTTTTTTTTTCAAAAATTTTTTTATTTAAAAATTCCAAAAAATAAAAGCCTAAGATATTTACGAATTTTTTATCTATTTATACTATATTCTTCAGTATTTTTTTCCAAATCATTATAAAACTCACAAACTGCTTCTTAAATAAAACCTTATTTTTGTTAAAATCTTTTTAGAATTTTCTATATAAGCTTAACCATATCAATATTGCTTTATATTATTTTCTTATATTCTCTTACTTAGATTAATGCCCATCTTTTTTTCTATGCTGTTATTTTAAAGTTGATTTCTTTTTCATCATCTTCTATACTTTATGTAAAAACTTTCTTTTTTAATGCCCATAATATTTAATATATGAGATCGAAAATCTTAATTTCAACTTCTAAAGAAGAAGGAACGGTAATAAGTATGTTTTAAGTTTCATTTTATGATAAAAATAGTCTAAAAAAGGCCAATAAATCGAAACAAATTTAATCGTTTTTTAACCTAAATTCTGTTGTTAAATTTTCTATAGGAATTCCTTTATCTGTTTAATTATTTTCGAATTCTTTGTCTGAAATAAAATCAAGGAAAATAGCTTTTTCTGGTTCAAAGTTTTATTTTAAATTTTCTTTATTTAATCTAAAAATAAAGCTATCAAAAGGATTATCAAACAAAGTGAATCCATAATTAATTAATTAGTATTTATTTGATCTTTTTCCATATGAAATAAAAATTTATTCATTTTTTTAAATTTTTCGGAGTGAAAATAATACTATATAGTTTTCTTCGTCTTTTATATCATACCATTATTTTTATAAAAAAAGTTCATTTTTTTCTTATTTTTATTTCATATTTTTTTCATTATGGCAATTTATTTAAAAAGAAAATTTTTTAAAAATTTCTTAATTTTCAAATTCTTTTATTTAATCAAAAAAATCACTTTAATTATAATTTCTTTCTATTGTCTTACTATTTATATCATTTTCTTTATCTTAAAAATCATCGAAAGAATCATCTGTGTCATTATCTTCAGTACAAGAAGATGAAAAATAGGGTAAATCCCATAAATATTTGTTATTATTTTAAAGCTTTTAAGTATTAATTTACCTTATTTCTTTTTTCAGAATTTCCTTATTATCTTCAACAAATTTTTCTTGTTATTTGTTAATAAAAATATAAGCTTTTCGAATATTTGGTGGATTTTGTATTTTTTAGAGTTCTTCTTATTCATATTTAAATCCAAAGATTCCAAAGTCGATTTTTTTATGTAACAAATTTTCGTATTTTTGTTTCTTGTTTTTTTGATTTTCACAGCCTAAATTAGTTAAAAGAAATTCGCAAGAATTATCAAAGGAATGATTTATCCCATCTATTAATGGCAGCAAAAATAAACTAGGAAATTTTTTTTCGAAAGTACGTGTATGTACAACTTAATATGCCCAAATAAAAAGTTTTTTTTCTTAGCAAGCTAAACCGAGTACATTTTTATATTTAAGGGCTATTTTTTAAAAATTTTAAGTCCATAATTGATCGATTTCTTGTTTTTATTATATTAATTCTTTTATTGTATATGGATCTTTTAAATATGAATTTATCTCCTTTTCAGACCATTCTAAAGGTGAAAAATCTGACGTAGGGAGGACTTCAAAATAAGGGAAAAAAAAAGACTTATTGCCTTTGTTTTTTTCGAACATTAGATATAAAATAAGTTTTCTAGTCTCACTATTATCAAATATAGACTTATTCTCATCTATTATGGATTTCAAAGGGGGATTTTCGTCTATTTTGAAAGGAGAAATAATTATTTTTTGGGGAATTGCTATTATAGCTTTATTAGGGGGAATATCGATTTTTGAAACTAAGCCAATTGTATTATTTAGACCAAAAGCTGTAGGATATTGTATTTGGGGAAATATTGCGTTGTTTTTTTGAAGCCATTAGATGTACTCAATGTATTTTTTTTGTTTTAGTAATTCGGATGTTTTTTCATTGTTTATTTCTGTTTCTTTTATATGGGTTTACTACATTTTTTTTTTTTTAAAAAAAAAAAAAAAAAAAATTGTTAAAGGGTTTTTTAAATTAATAATTTATTAAATATTATGTATATATATATATTTTAATTTTTTTTTAATATAAAAATGGAAAGATAAATGAGAAAAAAAAAAATAATAAAAAAAAATATTATTAAATTTAAAAAAAAAAAATAGAATCAAAAATATAAAAAAATACTATATAAAAATTATAATAAAAAAATAATTTATAATTTCTGTTTCATTGTGATTAGTACATTAAAAAAGCCATGTCTTTAAAATAAAAATAAATGAAACGGTTTTTATTATGGACAGTATAAGAACCAAAGTTTTTTCCAAAAAAAACATGCCAATAAGGTTCAAAATTATCATCCATATATTTTTTTAAATGTTCAGCAATCTTTATTTTATATAAAAAATATATTTTTGTTTAAATTGAAATAATATAAACCTTTTATCCTTCTTTACTGAGATTTTCTGTTCTTCCAATTGTATTTTATGTTTCTTTAATTGCACCTTCAAGAACATCATCTGGACATTCTGGTGGCCATAAAACTTTTGCGCCCATAAAAGTTCTATATACTGCTGGGATTTCTTTATTTTCTTAATTTTATTAATTATTAGTTGCCATTTTTTTTGTTTTTTTTTTAAAAAAAATTTTTTGTTTTTTTTTGTTTTTTTGTTATTTTTTTTTTTTTTTAAAAAAAAAAAGTAAAATAAATTAATTTTAATTTTATTTTATTAAAAATATATTTTTTAATTGTTATTTTTTTATAAATAAATATATATCATATATTTTTATATTTTAAAATTAAAAAAAAAATATATCAATAAAAGAGAGATGAAATTAATGAATGATTTTTTTGTATATTTAAATTAAAAAAATATAGATAAAAACATCGAAATAATCTAAAAAGAGTTCGAAATGGGTTTTGTAGAAAATTCCCTTTATAAATTTGAACAAATAATCGATAATATAAATTAAAAGTAGTTTAAATAATTAATAAAATACCTAAATTATCAAGCATTAGATTTCTTAAATAAAAACAAAATTTTATAATCTCAAAAAATCTTAAAATAAATAAAATTTTTCCTTTAAAGAAAACCTGAATATCCATAACTAATGTCTTTAACTTTAAATTCTAGTGGAATATATAATATTAATTAAAAAAAATACAAAAAAGCTGAAAAAGCATTTAATCTTAGTTTAAAATTACTTACAGAAAATAATATAAGAACTTATTTAGGGTTAACTTATTATAATTTGTCTTTTTTGGAAATTTTTAAAAGCCATTTTTCAAAGGCTTGTGATCTTGCATAAAAGGCACTTTTAGAAATACAAAGAAAAGTGATGAAAAAAGATATATAAAAAAAAAATGTTTTTGATATAAATTTACTAATTCTTTGCTATAAAAACGTTGCTTTTTTATTACAAAAATAAGGCGATTTTACATAGGCAGATGCTTATATTTAGAAAGCAGAAAGAATAAGTTAAATTTATTTAGATTAGAATATAAAGAATTTCTAAAAAACATTACTATCAGAATAAAAAGAAGATAATATTTTTTGTTAGAATTTGAGTAGTTCAAGGTTTTAAATTAATAAAAGCATATTTACTTTGAATTTAAAAAAAATAAAATAATATAAACATCCTGGATTTAAAAGCCCTTAGAATATTAAAAAAAATAGTTTTTTTTAGAATTCTTGTAGGGAATTTTCATAAAAACAACTTAATTTTCAAAATTTGGTCAAAAATAATAATTGTTTAACAGAAAAAAATACTATTTAATTTAGTAGAAAATAAATATCTATGTAAAATTCATCAAATTAAAATAATAATAGTGATTAATATAATAATATATATTTAAATAATAATTAGAATTAAATATAAATTAATAATATACTTTAAAATATTTAACAAATTAATAATCAAAAGAGATAAAGGAAAAATATATTATAATAAAATATAAATACTAATTTAAATAAATAATTAAACTTGAATATAGAATAGATTGTTCATTAAAAATTAAATTTAAATAACAAAGGGCTTAGTTTAATTTAGAATAGAAATTCCAATAAATAATTTAGTTTAAATAATAAAAAATATTACAATTAAAATCATAGCTAAACTAAATAATATTATTAAAATTAGGTTTGCCATTCAATATAAAATCTATGTTTAAATAATAAAGAATTATATTTAAATTTTGATTTTAATAATTAATAATATTAAAATATTAAATAAATATAAATACTTAATTAAGAAATAGAAAATATTTAAAATAAATAATATAATTAAGATAAAGAATAGATTAATTACAAATAATTAATTTAGAAAGAATAATAATATAATTAAGATTAGGCAACAATATAAAATCAAGAATATATTAATTAAAAAAAACTATATAATAACATTAAAGAATTAGAATAAAATAATAAATTTAATTTAATTTAAGAAACATAATAATAAAATAATATTAAGAATAATAGTATGACCATAAAAATAAAATAATTATATAATAATTAATTAAACTAATCAAAAGAAAAAACTAAAGTTAAATTTGAAAATAATATAGTTTAAATAACTTAGAAAAAAATAAATAAAGAAATTGTATAATAAAATCAATATTAAAATAATTAAAAAATATAAGAAATACAAAAACAAACAAAGACTTAAAATTACAAAATAAATAATTAGATAAAATAAAGAATAAAAAGTATTTTAAAACAAAATTAATAAATAAAGCTTAGTATTTAAGATTAAAAAAACATTTAAAAATAATAATAATAAAGCATTTATTAAAGAATAATTAATTAAAATAAAAATCAAATTCAAAATCAAAATTAAAATCAAAAAAAAAGTCTTTAAAATTCTTCATTATAATCATCAATAATTTCAGAAATAAATAGTGCAGAATAAAATAATTATGATTTTCATAATGGAGATCCATTTTAAGCTTATGATAATTATTAAATTAAAAAATTTATATAAAAAAATGAACAAATTTAAAAAAGAGATGTTTCTTAAGAAAATAATAATAATTTATATAAATTTAAAATAATAATGGAAGAATATAAAAATGCTGCCGAAACTATATAACGTTATTATAAAAAATATAAAGAATAATAGAAATTAAATTGAAAACAATAAAATATATATATATATATATAAATATTATATATATATATTTATATATATATATATATATATTATTATATTATTTATAATATTTATAAATACTTTATTCATATATATTCAGGAACAATAGAATTATTACTTACATTTAGTAAAGCAAAAGAACCATTTTTTGGCAAATTATATCCATCTGCCCACATTCTTAATAATCCTGCTATTTAATCCGTTTATGCCCATGTTGTGAAATCTTCTTTTGGCATATCTTCTCTATTTTATGGCGTATCGATTTCTTTTCTTTTATTTTTTTTTAAAAATACATTTTTTTAATTTAACAATAATAATACGGTAAAATCGTTATAATTCTAGAATTTTCTGCCATATTTTTAGAATTTGCCTTTATTATATATAATTTACATTTGTATTTAAAAAACTATAAAAAACCATATTTTAAGCTAATGTATGAACAGCAATTTTTGATAGAGAATAAGCTATCATATTATGTGAAGGATTATTAATAACTCCTCCTGCTCCTGTTAATATTAAAAGTCCATTTTAATTCAAAAAATGACTAGATAAATGAGCAGCTTTTATTACTATTATTTTCATTTTTTAATATATTATTACCTAATAGTGATGTCATTACATTATATTAATGCATTTTTTCATATACTTCGAATATATTATTGTCTTTTATTGATCCTGCTGTCCATCCTCCTGCTGTGCATATAATTGCATCATAATTTTAAGATGAAAAATCTTTTAATTATTTTTTTATTTCTGGGATTTATTGTTTGTGGGTTTTTTAAGGATTAAATATTATGTTTAAATTCGAATCTTTATTTTCTTATAAGTCTATATTTGCAGTTTACCAACCATTTTTAAAATTTTTAATTACGGAACGACCTTTATTATATTTATTTTTTTATTTTATTTTTTAATTTAAAACCTAAATTTCCACTTCCTCCGACTATTAATAACTTTTTTTGCATTAATTTTTTTTTTATAATAGTATAAATAAAAAGATATTAAAAATAAATTTAATTAAATATTAATTTAAATAATAATAATAAATGCTTAAAAAATGTTTTTTTTTTATATTTCTATTTTTTTATTATTTATATAAAATAAATAAAAATACTTTGATTAAAGGAAATAATATTTTTTTATATTTAGAATTATTTATTTTAAAAAAATAATGTTGTATTTTTTATTAATACTATATGCCATGTTTTTATTTTTATTTATATTTTTAATAATATTAGTTGTTTTCATTGCATATAGTATTATTAGTGGTTGTTATTTTACTAAAAAAATATGTTAAGACTGTTAAAAAGATCCTATTTAACCTACCCTAACAGAATGTAATCATTATTATTGCATTAATTGTGGTAAATAATTATAAAAAAGAAGTATTATTTTATCAAAAAAAAAAAAAAAAAGTAAAACCTCTGATATTGAATTGGGATTAAAAAAATAAAATTTCATGTTTAAAATGTGATAATAAATAAGAGTTTTCCATAAATATTTTAGTTTAGAAAATTAACTTGAAATTCCAGATAATGAAATAGCTTTTTTATTAAAAATAAATGAATATAATAATAAATATATAGAAGAGCCAAAATCGGTAAAATTTAAATATTTTTAATTATATTATTTTATTTTATAAGGCGAAATAAATTATTTAAAATATGCCTTTTCTTTTAAAAGGTATTAAATAAATGATTATATCTTAACATGGAATTACTTTTTTCTTTAAAAAATTTGTTTTAAATAAATAAATATTAATTTCATTATTATATATAGTATCACCTTTAGATCTTATACCCGAAATATTATTGGGGCCTATTGGATTTATAGATGATATAACAGCTTTTGGATTTATATTAAAAAAGATAATAAATATAATTTATTTATATATGGCTATATGAAATAGAAAAATTTATAATTATATTGTATATTGATTTATTATTCATAATATAATTTTCAATATTTTTAATTTTTAATTAGATTATAAAGCTAATATATATATAAATAATTATGAAAAATATATATATATATATGTATATATATATATATAAATTTAATTTTATTAAATTTAATATTATTTTTTGAAAATTAATTTTATATTTTTTTATAAAATATATATAATGATTTTTTATATATTTATTATATATTCTAAAAATAAACTTTAATTTCTTTTTTATTTTTTAAATATTAATTATTATTATTTACTATTTTCCTATTATTGTCTATAAATTTAAAATTAAATTTTAAAACTTTAATATCTTTATTAAAAAAAATAATGCTCATTTTAAATAATGAAAAATTAAATAATAAAAAAGCTAAATATTATTATTATAGTCATAAAAGTTAATTTTATTAATAATAAAACTAAAAAAATAATTATAATAAATAAATAAAAAAATGTAAAAATTAATGCAAAAATCAATGCTTTAATATAGTTTATATACTTAAAAATAGCCTTTAATAAGTACAGCAATAACAACAGGTTTAATATTTTTAACTGGTGATGCATTAATGTAATATATAGAAATAAATTAAAAAATGTCCACTAAATATGATTATTACAGAATGTTATCAATGACTTTATACGGCACAATGTTATATGGTCCTTTTTGTAGTTTTTGGTATAATAAATGGCTTCCGAAATTGGTCCCTACAGTATACAAAATATCATTAAAATAACTTGGTATGAGAATATTTTATGATGAAACAATACAAAGTGGAACCTTTTATGTCTCATTTCTTTATTTTATGACTACAGTTGAAGGAGGTACACATTAATAGGGTATTGATAAAATAAAAAAAGACTTTTATACATGCTATATTGCAGATCTTAAAGTTTGGCCGATAATATAATTTATTAATTTTAAATATGTCCCTATTCATATGTAGGCTATTGTTGTTAGTTCTATTACTGTTCTTTGGAGTGCTTTTATTAGCTATATTTAACATCATAAATGAATATAATTTATTTATTTTTTTAAAAAAAAATTGTTTTTATATTTTTTGTTTTAATTTAATTTTTGTTTATTAATAGTTTTCTTAAGGTTTCCATTTTTTTTCTTTTTTTTTTATCTAAATTAAAAATTAGAATTTTTTAGTAAAAAAATTTACAATTTAAATTAAATATACAATAAAAATCATGTAAAAGAATATAAATAATAAAATAAAGAAGAATTAATTATTTAAAACAAAAAATAAGTTTCTTTTTCTTTTAAATAATATAATAAATTTATCAATCAATATACTCAAAAAATGTCCCAAAAATAATAAAAATAAAAGCATAATGACTCATTATTTATTTAAATTATAACCTTTTTACCTTTTTTACTTTTTTTACCTTTTTTATCTTTTTTTCCTTTTTTAGTCAAATAATAAATATAATTATTTAAAAAAAAAAGAAATTTTTAAGAAAAAATAAATAATAAGTGTATTTATTTATTTGTAAAATTTAAACAATATAAAATTATATAATATTCAAAATAATTCTTCTCTAATAATAGGTAAAGTAATTTAAAGAATACATTTATCGGAAATCCATTAAGCTTTTCCATCTTTATCCCTAACTTAATAAGGGAAAGCATGATGTAAATAATATTTAGGACTTTAAACTACCATTGCTGTAGAATTAATGTCTAATTAAATATCCTTGAATTTGGTATCAGGAAGATGTACTTTAATCAAAAAATCCTAACATTTAGTAGAAGAAGGATCCATATTAGACATGCCTTTTTTATTTTAAAAATAAATAGATATAATTTAGTAAAAAATATATATAAAAAAAAAAAAACACACACACCTAAATAAACATCTTCTGTTCCTACCCTTTATTTATATAAAACTTCAACATCAGGCATTTATCTATCATCATTTTTAAGAATAGGGAGTTCTTTAACCTCATCTTCGCCCCAAATATCGCTGCTTTTGTTTTCTTTTTATTATTATTATTGTTATTGTGGTACCTTTTAAACTACTTTTTATTTTAAATCTTATGTTTCGTTTCCTTTTTTTATATCTATTTTTGCAAATGGCTTTGCTTGAGATCTATTTTCGTTTGATTTGCCATCTATTTGTGATGGATTTAATACTGAACCAGGATTCGCGTTTCTAACTAATTAATTTTCATCGTCTTCTTCTTCGCCCATAATAAGTCCTTTTAAGTGCATTATTGTAGCAGAATCCATTTTTATATTTATTTATTTATTTTTATATACTTTATTATTTTTTGTTTAAAAAAAAAAATCTTTCTTTTTTTTTTTTTTAAAAAAAAATAATATTTAAATTTTATTAACTTTTTTTTATTATGAAAAAAAAAAAAAAACATGTTTTATTTTTTTATATAAAAATAATTAATATAAATTTAATTTTTGTTTGTTTTATATTAAAAAAAAGACAAATGTATATTACTCAAAATAAAATTTTAAATAAATAAATAATAGAAATATAAAATAAAATAGATATATATAATGGAAAAAATACGTCATTCATCATTTAATTTTTAAGTTAATTCTTAAATGTTATTCATTTCAAAAGCATTTTATGGTTTATCCAATTATTTTTTACCCTAATTTGTTTTCTTTTCTTTTTCTTTAATATCTCCCATAAATACAAAACTCAAACCAATTATTATTGCTCCCAAAATAACATCAAAAAATCCTACATTTCCAAATACATCGACCTAAAATACAAAACAGAAAAAAGTCAAAAAAGCTATAAATTAAGGGAAAATCAATAAAGATTATCCAGGCACATCTAATTAGCATGATCGTATAAAAAACTATAATAAAAACAAGAAAATCCATCCTATTCCAATAATTACTACCCATTCAAACAATGTTGGTGGCACAAGTTATTAAAAGATGAAAAAAGCGGGAACAAATGGCGAATTTGTTAATAAGTAAATATGCGAAAGAGTCACAAAATTCTCGTTTTTTAATTTCCGGATTGAAAAAGTAAAATATCCGAATAATAATCCGCTAATATTACTTGATATTATTCCATAAATAAGTAATTTATCATCTCCTATAGGTGATACTAAAGTCGGGTTTAATAAAAAGTATAATAAAATGATCATAAGTAATCCTATTAAATATTATTTTTGGGACATCTTTTTATTTTTGTTTAAAATAAATTCATATAATGCAAATATAAGCCAAGAAAATGAAAAATTTTAAAAAATAGTTGATTTGTCGCATTTTTAAAATCCATATACAAAAAATACTACCATAAATAAAGCTGCAAAACCACCTAATTTAGACTACAAATTATCCTATCTTTTTTCTATATAAGGTTATACTTCTCCATCTTTCATCAAATAATAATTAGTTAAAAAGCTTACTAAATATATAACAAATACATTTTATATAAAAGGTTATTTGGGAATAAAAACATAAGTCGAAGAAATAATTAAAGCGAAAAAAAAAGCAACAAAAGTTCCTAAAATGAAACCACTTTTTTTAAGGTATTTTTTTTCGAAAGAAATCATTCGGTTTATTATTATATGTAATAGTAAATTATTTTCATTTTCTATTAGAGCGTATGTAGTTTGGGTAGGACGATTTCTATAGGAAAATGTCGTGTTTGAAAAACGTGCACTTACTGAATCAAATATTTCGGATAAACGTTTTTCTTATTTATCAATTATGGTACGTTATTTTACTTATTAAGATTAAGATTTTATATCAACATTAGATTCATTATCCATTTTTTTTGGTTTTTTATAAATAGTTTTTTTTTTTTTTTTTTGGTTTTTAAAAAAAAATAATAATATATTTTTGTTTCTTTTTTAAAATTTTTTTTTTTTTTTTTTTACTTAATGAGTTTATATAAAAATATTTATTCTATATCTATATATATATATATTTAAAGTATTTATATTTATGTTTTTATTTATTTTTATTTTATACTATAATATTTCTCAAGTTTTTTAAACTTAAACATTTATTGAAATAACATCTATAGGAAAGCATATATGTATATTTATGTTAAATACATTTTAATTTAGATTTTTTTTTTTAAAAAAAAAAAAAGATTTAAAAGCCTTATTATTAAATATTGGAAGTTTTCCCTATTAAAGTTAAATTAATGGAAAAATAGAATTAGCTTCAAATTTTTCGGATAAAAATTAAAGCTAAAGCATGTAAGACATCACAGGATGTACTGAAATAAGACATTTTGATCAAAGTTATTATTAATATAATGGATATCCAATTTATTTGGCTGATAAAGGTAATTGTAATGTAATTACTTAAGGATACAATAGTTTAAAATCTCATGCAAAAGCACTTATAATAATAGATAAAAGTGAAGAATATGAGATTGAGAAACTATTTTTGGACGAAAATTTATCAGGAAAAACAATAGAAATTCCAATTCTTTTAATAGGAAGATAAGAAGGTAACTTTCTAAAAGTAAAGTATGAAGAAAATAATAATAATTTATAAATATCAATATTATTTAATTATGAATATGAAAATAAAAAAATAAATATTTAATTTTGGGTATATTGGGAAGATTTGAATTAATTATATGAATTTGTATTTTCTCATTATAATTTTTTGAAATCATTAATTATAGATAAATAAATAGAGTTTTTTTCGTATTTTTCTTTTAATGAAAATTCGGATTATGAAAAAATTCTGAAAATGGTTTGTTTGAATAAATTTAATAGTTAAGAGTATTTATAATATGTTTTTAATAAATTTTAATGTATTAATTGCTTTGATGATTTTTTTATTTAGGATTGTATTAATTAAAGATAGGATGATTCATAAAATAAAGATGACTTTTTACGAAAATAAATTCTTTTTGAGTAATACTAAATTGGAGTGGTTTAGAATGTTTAGTATTATCCTATGTTAGTTATTAATGGTTATATTTATTAAGTAAATTTATTCATATTTTTATTATTTATAAGTAAATAAATAAAAACAAAGGGTAATTTTAATAAAGATTTTTAGAAATATGTATGTAATTAGATTTATAATAGTCAATATTAGAATTAATGTAAAATGTTTTTCCCGAAAAATTAATTAGATTTATAAAATGAATATGATAAAATATTTTAAAAGGCTTTTGTTTTTAGTGTTGGTCTTATTTTATTTTTAACTTTTAGTTGTTATAAATATATTGTTTATTCTGGAGTTTAAATTTATATTGAATAATATAAAAAGGGAATTTATGAAAATTGAATTTTAATAATATTCAATAAAAATATTGATTTAATAAACATTATTTCTATTGAATTCATGTTTTTAAAAAGTTTTTAGTAATATAATTAATTTTTTGTTTTCTTTTAAGATATGTTATTAAATAATAATTTTTGTAACAAAATAAATTATATAATAAAAAATTTTCTTTGAAAGAAAGTAAATGCGATTCTTTTATGTCGAAAATAATAATAATGAAAAATTATATATACATATTACTTTTTAACATTATTTATTTTTGACTGCAATTTTTTTTTTTTTTTTTTAAATAAAATTGATTATGTGGCTTTTATTTTATTCGATTGAGTTTTTTTTTTCTTTTAAATACTTTTAAATAAAATAAACAAAAATCTTCTAAAAAATAATATTATATATATATATAAATACATATATACATACTTTTAAATATTAATTTATTTAGAAAAAGATTAAATATATATATATATATATATATATAAATTAATAAATCATTTAAATATGTCTGACAGTGAAGAGTTTTCATAATAATAAGAAAATTAAGAAGAGGAAATTCCCAATATAGAAGAAGAAGAAGACGATGATATAATGCAAGAAGAAAAAACATAAAAGCCATTATAAGAGGAAAAATTAGTTATAGATTAAAACGAGAAAGATAAAACCTCAGCTACATATATATTTTATGATGAAGATCATACTTTAGGAAATGCTTTAAGATATGTTTTAGTTAAAAGAAAAGACGTCGAATTTTGTGGATATACAATTCCACATCCTTCAGAAAATAGATTAAATTTAAGATTATAGACATCTTGTAAATCATTATTATTTTATATAAATAAAATAAAATTTAAAAGCCAAAAATTCAAATGAAGTATTAAAAGAAAGTTTAGATAGTTTAGCTGGATTATGTGATGTTTTAAATGATAAATTTGTAGATGCATTAAAGAAACACAAAAAAAATTAACGTAAACATTGATTGAAAATAATAATTAAAAAAAAAAAAGGATAATTTTATTAAATGTATACATATATAATTTTATTTTATTTTGTAAAAAATAAGCTTTTTATTTATTTTTATTATTTAAAGCATAACAAAAAAATGAATTATATTAAAAAAAATAAGCCTTTATTATTATTTTTTGTTTTTATTTAAATTATGTATATGTAGTTTCAAAATATTAGTAATAAAAAAATTAAATAAAAAAAATATAATTATATAAAATTGACTTCATTTATTAAAAAAATCAGTATATACTATTATAAAATCTGGTTATAATTAATATTATGAAAAATTTTATACTATTTATATAATTCGTTTTGAATATGATTATAATTTAAATAAAGGTATCAATGTTCTTAAATGCTTTTAAGTTACAATTTTTCTAAAATAAAATAATTATTTTTATTTCTTTCTAAAAAAAAATTTTTTTTTTTTTTTTTCCCTCTTTGATAAAAAATAATAAAATTTTAATCTTTTTTAATTAATTAAAATGATAACTTTTAAAATATTTATATTATTATAATAAATTTTATAAAGATACTATATAAAAAACGAAACTTAAAAAAAAAAGGCTAAAAAATATGAATAAATAAGTTAAGTTTTATAATATAGTGTATAAATAAAATGCAAATTTAAAGATAGTATATTGAGAATTATAAAAATAATGCATAATATAATATTTTTTATTAAAAAGAATAAATAAATACCATAAAAAATAAGTTAAAATAACAAAACATAGCGGAATGTAAGAATTTTATCTTTTTAAGAAAAAAAAAAAAAAAAGTGATTAATTTAAAAAAATTGAAAATAATAAAAGTTTAAAATAAAAAATATATATTAATTATAACAAATTTTTAAAAAATAGAATTAGAAATTTAAGCAAAAAATTTACATTTAATGAAAAAAAATAAAAACAAAAGAATACTTTTTAAATGAATAAAAAGAAATCGAATAATAAAAAAGATAATAAAAGTCAATTTATATAAATAAATAGTCTCTATATAAGAATTAATAAATAAAAAATATTTCTTAATATAAATATTAGGTGGATATTTATAATTAATATTAAAAGAAGCATAATTGCTTAAAAAAGTAAAATTTTTTTTAAGAAGCGAAATAAAAATAAACATAAGTTTAAAAGCATAAAATATTATATAATGGTATTTATAATAGGAATTATAATTTGTAAACATATAGAGAAATTAATATTTTTTATTAAATAACGAATTAAATACAACTTTTTGTTAATGTAAAAACTTATTTTTGATTTAAAAAAATAAAATATAATTTTATGTTTTTTTTTTTTTTAAATAAAAATAATAATAATAATTTAAAAATTAACCATTTGTCGGAAAAAAAAATAATAATATTTATAAACAAAAAAAAGGGGGGGGAAAAAAAATTTAATTAAAAAAAGAAAAAAAAATATTAAAAAAAGAAAAGCAAACATATATAAATAAAAATATATATATATATATTAACAAAAAGTGAATAATAATAAAAAAAAAACACAGGTAATAATTAATAACATTCGAAGAATTCGTTATTATCATGTATAGCGGAAGAGAAGGAAGATAAAATGAATATGAACAAAAAAAACAAGAAATTAATTATTACCAATGAAAGGAATTAAAGTATTTATAGATGGACAGTGTTTATTTGAAAACATTATATAAAATAAATAATAATAGTTATCTGACAGACTAACGTCTTCAAATAATAATACATCTGATGATGAAAAAAATATCCTTTATTCAAAAACAATCGAATATTTTGCCACTAATCAATAATTTGAAGGACCTGATCCATCTGTTTTAGCCCCTCCTAATTTCATTTGTCTATGAGAATAAAGAAAAAAACAATCATATATATGAATAGAAAATAATTTTTATATATATAAATACAAAAATTTATATAATTTATATAAGAAAATAAAATTAAATGGAAAAAAAAAAAGTTAAATTTATTATATGTATTTTTAATTTAATTATATATTTTAAAGGAAAAAAAAAAAATGTAAATATTGCCTTTAAAAACAGATTTATTATTAATAAAACCTACTTTGATATAAATCCAAAAAAATATACACGCAGATAAAATAAAATGCTTTGGGTCATTTAAATATGCTCAAAAAGATTATTTTTATACAGCATCTCATGATAAATAAGTCAAAATATTCACCAAAGATGAACATTCTAACAATTTAAATTTATTAAAATAAGCTAGTCTTCCAAAAAAAGTAACTCATGCATTTTATTCTTTATATACAGAAAAAATATATGTGACAGATAAATATGGTGATATTTATAGTTTTGGAATGGAAAAAATATTAAAATAAGAAGGAGACTTACTACCTACATATGAAAATTCGAATAATTTGGTTATTTAAAAGGGCTTTTAGGGTGTCCATTTAGAAAAGAATTAAGATTATTTGATATTAGCGGATAGCTATTGTAGAATAAAAATTTTTAATTTACATAATGTTTTAGAGTTAGTTAATTTATGGATTCCTTTTGAGTTTTTTTTAAAGAAAATTCTTGAATTTTAGAATTAATTAATTTTTTTATTTTCGAATAATTATTAAGATAAAGATGAGGAAAAAACATATTAAATTTAGGCTATTGATAAATAAAATCTACTAAATTCAGAATAATATTTACCTAAAAATATTCCAGAATTAACTTTTTAAGGGAAAATTAAAGTCGAAAAAATTAATTAGAATGATTTTATTATATTTGGAGTTAAAAAAAATACAATTTTTTTTAAAATTATTGATGTTCATTCTTTTAGTATAGTTAAAAGTGAAGAAATTTAAATTTCATTTGAAAATTAAAATTAAGAACAGAATAATACTTCGTTAAATATTTAGGTTTTTGAAGAAAAATGCTATGTTTTAGTTAGTTTTGGGCTTGAATAGAATACTTAAGTTAATTTGGGTTTAGATTAGAAAAAAGAAGTTAGAAATGGTGTATTTTAAGTTAATATTAATTAAAATTCATATTTATATATCATTTGATGTTTATTTAAATATTTGTATTTTAAAATTTTATAAATTTATTTAAAATCGATATAATGAATATTTTTTTTAATTGTAAAACTTGATTAAAATGTAAATAATTACGTTATTGATTTATATTTTATTATTTATAGAAATATTAAAAAGATAGTTTTTAAAATATTATATATAAAATTAATATCATATATATTTTAGATAAGTATTTTTAACACTTTATATATATATATATATATTACTTATTTATTTATTTTTTTAAAATACTTAAAAAAAAAATGAGGCTAATATCAGTTTTTTCTTGTCTTTTTAATAAGTATATTAAAAAACAGAAAATATAAAAAATATATAATCGATAAATTGATTAATTGAAAAATAATAAATAAATATATTATATATTTAATAAAAAATATATATATATATATAATTTATAATAATTAAAAAATTTTTTATTCTTAAATTAATAAAATATTTATATTTTTTGTATAAATGATTTTATTTTAAAAATAATTAAAAAATTTTTTTTTAATACATTTTTTTTTATATCAAATATATCTTTTAGGCACTAAATATAAATTTATTAAAAATTATTGACTAATAATTTATTTAATAATAAAAGATTTATGCAATAAATAAATAAAATATTAATATAATATTTTATTTATATTATATAATTTTCTCAAATTAATATATAATTATATATTATCTTATTAAATTATTAAAATTACTTTTAATTTATTTTAAAAATAAAGAAATTGTATATTATAATCACATTTATTTAATATTTGGAAACATACTAAAAATAATTTAGAAATATTCCAAAAATAATATAGAAACATAAATAATTTTTATAAATAATATATTATATTAAAATATTAAATAACTTAAATAATTTTAATTTTATAATATTTGTTTACAAATATATTGAAATAATTTTTTTCTTTTTTTTTTTCTTCTCAACCTTATTTGTTTCTATTTCTAATCCTCAAAGCAGGTAATTGATTTACTAAAGACGGTTATTCTAAAGCTTTTTAATAATCAGCAATTATTTAATAATGAGTAGCCTTATCACTTATTTAACTATTTTATATCCATTATTCTGAGCACTATTTAATGAAATACTGAGCATATATATTTAGTTCAGAATTGATCAGCCTTATAATCATTTTATTATTAAATTTATTCTGCTTTTCTATTAGATTTAACTATATTAGACTTTTTTAATAATGTTATTCATCAAAATAACCTTAAATTTAATTCATTAATAATATTTTGCTTTTTTTACATCTAAAAAATCTACTAAAGCCTTTCATAAAATTTTTAACTACATTTTTTCTATCATATTTTTTTTTTTTGTAAACTTAATGAGTTTCTTCATTTTCGTAGTTTTCAGAAGAGTTAGATATGTTTTCCTTACTATTGTATTAATCTTCATTTATATTATTTTCAACATTTATTTTTTAATTTTTCTGGAAAATATCACAAAATTACAATTATAAATTCAAACATTTTTGTGTCTACAAAATTGAAAAAGTATAGTTAAATTCAAAAATATCTTCCTCTTATCTATCATTAAGTACTTAACAGTGTGAATATAAAGTATTTTTTTATTAATCTTCAATGCTTTCTTTTTCGAAGAATTTATAAGAAAACAAGCAATAATCATTTAATAATATTACAGGTTAACGTATTGTGCATTATTAAATAGAAGGATTTGTTTATTAAAATTATATAATGTTATCATATAATATTTTTTCATCTATTTTTATTTGTATTTATATTTCATTTTTGTTAGCAATAGATCTTATAATAGGGGTTATTTAGGTTGTTTGATTTAGATTCAAAACAGATGCATTTGTGTTTTTTGTTTGTTTAATTTTTATTTAAAAACATTTAGTAGATATTTCTGTATTCATTTTTTTAATTACTTTTTTATTTAAGTCAATTTAATTAATTAATTAAATTAATTTTTTTTTTTGTATTATTATATAAAAATATAATATTATAATTATAAAAACAATAGATATAAGATATAAATTAAAAATAAAAAATAAAAAATACTTTTTAATATAATATAAAGCCCGATTTAATTGGTATATATTTGATAGAAACATTAGTTTTATTATTAGTTTTATTATTAAAATAAAATATATTTTAAATATAAAAGAATAAATTAAAATTTAAATTCAATTTTAAAAAAAGAATACTATAAATATTTTTATATCTAATAAAAGTAAAATATTTTAGTCTTTTTTTTCTTTATAATAATTTTATTCTTTATTCTAAATATATATGGTATATTTTTAAATACGTGTTATTATAAACAAAATATTATCTATATATATATATTTTTCTTATAAAATTCTACTATTTAAAATACATAAAAAAAAATTAATTATTTGGATATCTATAAAATTTTATTAATAAAAATGACAGATAAAATAAAATATAATTGACTTTTTTTTTTTTTTTTTAACGCGTAATATAACTAGATTGATTTTTTTCTTAAAATTCATTTGTTTGCAATATCAATACCTTTTTAAATTTTAGAATTTATATTTTAAATTTATTATTATTGTCGGTATTTCATATCATTATCTATTTATTAAGCTCTTGTCATATAACTCTATCCAATATTTTATTATGGTGATTTATTTATTTATTTGCTGATACTATTATTATTATTATATTAATATTATTATATTTAATAAGTTTTGTTATTTAAATTATTAGGAGATTTTTCAAAAATACTCATATTATGGTGTCTAGATATCGATTAAATTTTATCAATTTTTCCATTATTTTCTATTTTTTTGATAATTTAATTTTATGGATGTTCTTTTCTTTATTTTTCTGACTATATGTAATATTATTATAAATATATATAATCTTCATTATCATAATTCTCATTTATTAATTCTTCTGGGTTAAAATATTCCTTTTTAGAATTTATAATATCTTTATAAGTAATATTTTGTAATTATTACCAATTAATTCTAATTGTATTTTTATATATATTAAAGTAGATAAATAATATATATATGTATATATATATACTTATCTCCTTCTTTTATTTTTTTCTAATTTATCCTATTTCTTTCACTGTAGTTTATTTTAGTAGGCTCTGAATTAAATTAGTAAAGTATTTTTTTATCATTTTATTTTATATTTTTATCAAAAGAAAGTTAATTTTATTTATTTTCATTAGAAAATTATTTTTAATTATTTTATAAGTTTTAAAAAATAGATTTTTGTTTTTCTTCATTGGGATGTTAATAACGATTTACTTATTCATTTTTTGTAATTTTCATAAGCTTTTTTATTCAACTCTTAGTTTTACTATTTCTTTTGTTTATTTATTAAATATTCTTATAGGAATTTATCTTCCTTAATCAAAAGGAAGTAGTCTAAACCCATCTTTATCCTATAAATGTTTTGTTAAAAAAAATAGTAATATAATATTTATAACTTTTATATTAAAAGGTAAAGAGATTCCTTATATTTTTCTTTTTAAAATATCTAAATTATCTATTTAAATTATTTCGTAAAATTTTTCTACTTTTTATATATCTGAAATCTAATTTTCTTCAGTAAAAAATTAAATTGCTACTTTTTCTAATAATTATCTAAAACATTCGAAATCTGCCTCTTTTGAATTAATAGCATATTTTTTAAACAAATTTTTCATTTCTTGTTTATTTACATATTTATTATGATTTAAAATACCCAATTATTTTAAACATATTAAAAAACAAGCCAAATTTATATGATTTTATTCATGAGCTATTCTATCAAATGAATATTTAACTCCAGTTATTACTTATTCCTTACAAAATACTTTAAATATTTATTTTAATATTTTAATTCTTTGTAAACCTTTTATTTAATTAACATTTTATTACTTTTATAAAACTTTATTTTTTAAAAATATTAAAAATTATATTTAATAATAATTTTAATATACCTTGTATTTAATTTAATTATTCAATTAAATTATTTAATTTATTTTTAATAATTTTTCTTTCCTATAAATTATATTCTTATTACAAAAGTTATTCATATTTTTTTATATTTTCTTTGATTTCTTTTTCATAAACAGACTCTATTTTTTCTTTATTACCAAATTTACTTAAAATTAAATTTAAATCTTACTATATTAAAAAATAACAAAAATCAATTAAGTTCTTAAATGAAATTTTTTAATCTTTTTCATTAAATTAATTATAAATTTAATTGTAATATTTTTTTATTTTGTGATTTAAGTATTCCTTGCTTTCTGGATCATTAAAAAATTCTTCTTTTTAATTATATTATGTATGCTTAAAAATAATGTTATCATAGTAAAATGATACTCTTATGAATAAATGTAAATCGTTTGGTGTAATATAGGCTTCTTATTAGTTATTTTTTTTAAATTCATTAAAATAATTTTCTATTTATTCATAAAAGTTTTTAAAAAAATTATCTAATATTTATTTATTTTGCTAATATATTAAATTGTTTTCGATTTCATTGCCATTTTCATTTATTTAATGATTTATTTCAACTTAATTTTAATTATTGTCTTAATTTTAATATTAATCTTAATTTTAATCATAATCTTAATATTAGTTATAATCTTAATTATTTTCTTCTAAATTATTTGTATATTCAGGTTATAAAAAATCTTTTTTCTCGTTTTCTTCTTCTAGATTATCATTTTAATTTTGTTAAAAAACATTATTATTATTACTTTAATTGATTTAACTATTACTTATATGATTTATTTAATCTTATTCATTTGGAATATAGTTATCTTATTTCTATTTAAGAATTATCTTAGTTTTAATCTTAATCTATATTATCTTAATTATTTATTTATTCGGACATTTTTATTTTTTAATTTAATATTTTTTTTTTTTTAATTAAAATACTATTATCCATAAATTAAATAGTAAAATTGATTAAAAATAATCTTACATATTATAAAAATTAAAAACTCCACTATATATATGATTTTTAAATAAAAAGAAATATTTTAAAGTAAAAGGTCATAAAAAATTATTTGATAATAAAATTAAATATCTAAAAATTTTCAGCAAAAAGTTATATTAATTAAAATTAAATAAATTATTATCTTATTTAAAAAAAAATACGAAATTTTATTTAATATAAATTCTTTAAATATTAAAATAATTATATTAAATAAAAAAACAAAATAAATATTTATTTATATAAAATATATATATTTTGCATTTTTAAATATTAAATTTAATTTAATTTATGTAATTTGTTTAATGTTGTTTTTTTTATTATTTTTTTAAATTTATATTTTCACTAAATAAATCAAATTGATATTAAGATTTATAATTTTATTTATTATTTCAGAATATATACTAAAATAAGGGAGATGATAAAATTATTACGTATATAATAATGCAAAGTATATATTTAGTTTAAGCAATGATAATAATAATGAAGTTTATATTTATAATTTATTAATATAGTAATTAAATTAGTATATATATATATACTAATAATTGATAATTAAACAAACAATTTTATACATCGACAAATTATAAATGAATTATACGACATAAATACAAAAATATTATTTAAACATGTTATATGATCGTAATAAATAATTCAATAAAAATATAAAAAAAAAATAGATAAAAAATAATAAAAAATATTAATTATTTTATTTAATCTTCATAGAATAAAATGGTATAAAAATTCTAATTAAATAACTATTTATTTATAAGTATATATAAATTTAATATTAATATTATCTAAATAATTGAAATTATATTTAATTTTTTACTTATATATATTAATGATATATAGTAAACAATTATTAGAGTATATATATAAAAAGTTATTGTCAGTTTTTCTAATTTTTTGTTGATAACAATTTATGAAAACCCTTATAATAATTATCAAAAAAACAAAAAGCAAATTTAAATTAATGTAAATTTAATAAATTATATATAAAAAACATTATTTTAAAAAAATAAAAAATAAACTAAATAAACTTATACAAAATAAGTAGATTAAATGCAATTTCTTTTTAAAAATATATATATATATTGAGATTGAAAATAAAAATATATATATATTTTTTTTATTATATTACTAGAATTCGGAAAACATTAAGGATTTGTATTATTTCCTTTTTTTTATTCGAATATTCGATTTTTTTGATATTTGAATTAGAAAAAATTAAAACTTAGATTATAATTAAAGAATAAATAAAAAATAAATATTATAAAAATATGATTTTAATATAAATTAATCAATAAAATAATATGAATATAAATCAATTAAATATATAGTTATATAATAATAGTATTATTTTAATAGAGTAATTAAAAAATACTTCGAATTTTAATTAAAAACTACAACATATATATATTAAAAATTTTGATTTTAAAATAAAATATAATTAGAATAATTTTAAAAATAAAAATATTAAATTAGAAATGATTTATTAATTTTAAAATACTTAAATAAATATTACCTAATTGAAATAAATCCTAATTGTATTTTATATTAAAAAAAATATTCGTATTAATTTGTATAAAAATATAATTTATATTAAAAAAAATATATTTATTTTATACAATTAAATAATATTTAATTTTAACACCAAATTTAATTTGCTATATTTTTTCAATTTAAAATTATTTTAAAGGAATAAATAATTAGTTCAGTTCAACAATTTTATTAAGATTTATAATTTAAACAAAATGTTTTAGCTAATATAGATTAAACTGTAAAAAAATCGTTTGGATTTTCATTATTTTCTTAATTGATTTATAATTATTTGCTTTTACTTTCATTTTTATTTTATTATTTTTTGTATTTTTATTATTATTATAACTCAATTAACTTATAAGTATTACAATTCAACATTAATAAAAGTTTAAAAGCTTCTTTATGATATACTTATAATTTTTAATCAATTTATTCAGATTTATCTTATAATTGTTTATTATTATATTTGTTTATTTTGTTTAAATTAGAATTAGTAATTTTTTTTTTATTTGTTTTTTATTTATTTTGGCTATCAAATAATAAGATAGTATTAACGATTGAATTACCTTATTTAGGTATTTTTATTTATAAAGAATTGTATGGGCTATTGTTTTAACTAAATTTTTTATATTTTTTTCTTAATTATAATAATTGTCGCATATATACATTTTATATTATTGTTTTAAAATTATAAAAGTTTTTTTTTTAAATGTTTTCAATATTTTTTTTTATTTATTAATTAAAGTTTTTTATTATTTTTTAAAATATAACTATGTTATTTGAAAGTATTTAATTGATAATTATTTACACTTAAATAATTTAATTATTTATTAATTAAAATTTCATTAATCCTCTATAATTGATACGGCTGATGCATAAGATACAGATTAATCTGATTTATCTTTAACTAAACTAGATAAAGCATATCTAACAAAATGAGTTTAAATATCTTTTGAATATTTACTATTATTAAATGCCTTTATATACATATTTTTTATTAATAATATAATTATATATACATGTAATAAAATAGATAAAGCATGTCTTCCACAAATATTATTTTCAGTTTCTTTTAAGTAACTTATAAATTCTCTTTTTATAAATTTTAATATATAATAAATATATATATATAAATATATATATATATATATATATATATATATATTTTAAAAATACTAATTATCATGTTTTTCGATTATTGTCATTCCTCTTTAATCAAGTTTTTCAATTTGTTCATAAATTTCCCCATCATCTTTATTAAAATATGTATATTTATACCTTTTGTAAAATATTTTAATATTTATAAAAATATGAATAAGAAAAAACTTTTATCCCCAGTGACAAAAATCTGTTGAAACAATAAATAAAGTGTCATCTTAATCAACAAATTTACTAAAAATCTATCCATATAAGGTTTCCTAACTTTAATCAAGGGCACCAACCATAATAGGTATCAATTTTATATTTTCAGCACCTAATGTTTTAATTAAAAAACATAGTTACATTTCTAATGAATGTTCTTCTTCTTCTGCATCTTTATCTGTAGTTTCAAAATAAGCTAATTCTCGTAATTCATTTATGGCTTTATTTTTATTTTTTAAATTATTTCATATAATATATTCATTTTTTATACTTTCTTAATCTATTTCTATGTTTCCTACTGGAGTTTCATATACTTTCATTCCTGATAATCCACATTATCTAATAAAAATGTAATGGAAAGGACCCATTAAAAATACACGTAGTCTTTTTTTTTTTTTATAAATTAATATTTTTAAAATATTAATGCTTTTTTTATTTATTTAATATTTTTTTTTTTTTTTAATATCATCAAAAAAAAAAGGTATTCATCGAATTTTTTTATTTTTTTTTTCGCCTTTTTTTTATTGATTGAGTTTTTTAAGAAAAAATTAGAGAAAAAATATCAAAACAAGTAATATACTTTTTTTAATGACAATATTATTTCAAATATTTATAAGCATATGCTTATGTAGGACCTGAAAAAGAAAAACCTGCATGACTTTTTTATTTGTTTTATATAAAAATTTAAATAATAGCTTTTATATGTTATACGGAACAATAATAGCTTTTACAGCCTAAATATTTTAAATTTCACATTTTGCCATATCTAACCATACGTTAATTTAAATATTTAACTCATGTTCATTATTCGAGTACCAACTTCCTGCATAAGAAGATTCTCTTATTTCCAGCTTTTAATCATATTATATTTCTTCGTTTTATTCTTATTAATTTTTATTTTCTGTTTATTCTTTTTATTATAAATCTCCTATATTTTCTTATTCCATAAATATTACTTAATTTATTAAAAAATTATAATTATATAAAAATTTAAAAAAAAAAATATTATATTTAATATAATTAAAAAAAAAAAAAAAAATATTTATTTATATAGAGTTGAATAAAAAATAAATATTTAATTATAAAAATATTTACATATTTTTAAAAAAATGAAAATTATTGTTATTTAAAAAAAAAATATAAAGCATATACTTTTTTTTAAAAAAAAAAAATATATATTTTATAATAAGAACTTTTTGGATTTTTTATTAGGAAATTATATTATTTTTATAATTTTTGTATAATTTAATTTATTAATTAATATAAAAAAATTTAAATTAATTAAAAAATTTAATGTGAAAAATAATTAAATCAATTTTTTTAAAAAAATTAACAAATAATAAATAAATCAGTTATTAATTATAAATTTAAATATCAAAAACAAACAAAGATAATAAAGTATAAATATTTAATAGTATAATATTTATTATTTTTATAGCAAAATAATTATCTGATATTAATTATTTATTTGTTTTATATTTGTATTTTAATATTAAAATTTTTATTTTACAATATTGTTTTTTTTTTTTAAAAATAGTTCTACTTTACTTTATTTTTCCGTTTTGAAAATATTTAAATATACAATATTTTTTCTTTTTAATAATATTGCCGTTTTAAACTACACCATATAAAATAATTACAAATAGAAAAAGTATAAATGTAATATTTCAAAATAAATAAATCACAAATTGTGCAAAAAAAAAACATAAAATAATAAGTCAAAATGCGAATAATAATCATATTTTTTACTAAGAAATGTAATTTTTATATGCTTAATCATACAAATAATTAAATAAAAATTATAGTGTATAATTGATTATAAAATAAATATAAATAATTCCATTTTTATAAATACTAATATTTTTAAAAAAATAAGAATCATTAAAATTTAACAGTTTTTTAGAAATAAAAATGCAGAAATATTATTCAAGATTTTCTTATTATAATAATATAAATTAATTTATTATCAATAAAGGTTACTTGATATTAATAAATAAATGTTTTAAAAATAAAAAGAAATAATATTATTAATAATAATGAATCTAAAATATTAGATTATTAAGAAATTTAAGAAAATATTATTAAATAAAATTAAAGAAGCAAAAAATATAATAATAATCTTAGTTTAATTAATTTAAAGAAACCAAATATCTTAATTTAATTATTTTTTGAATTAAAAATTAAATAACAAATAAAACATAAAATATATATAAATTTATTAAGTATTATATTAAATGATTAATTAAATAATATTAGATTTTCGATTTAATGACTTAAATCATTAAATATTATTTAGTTTTATATAAAAAATTAATAATTTATTTTTCAGATGTTTGAAAAGAATAATGATTTTTATTTTTTTATATAATAAATATACCAATTAATTTATTATTCATTTAACATAAAAAAGATTGAAATCAAAATTAAAATTTATAATTATTTTATTCAAAATCTAATTAATAAAATAAACTTTTACTAATTTTTTTTTTTTTTTTTTTTATTAAAACTTCATTTTAATATAAAAATAATATAATTTTTTAATATAAATAAAAATATTTTCAGTTTAATTATTCATTAACATGAACATAAAATTATATATGAATTTCATATAAATATATGAATATTATATGTTTATATAAATTTAAATTAATTTTCTTTTTTAACAATATAAGGAATGACTTTTATTTTTTATTGAAAAAAGTAAAAAAATATTAAATTTTATATTCAAAAATATCTTTCAATTTTCTAAAAAAATTACAGTACATGTAATATCATCTCTATAATCAGTTTCCTATAAATATCATATATAAATTTTTATTTAATTAAAAAAAAACTTTTTTCCAAGCTTAAATTGCTTAATTAATTAAACATTCTGCTGCCTAATCTGCATTTTTTTTATCATAAAATTATTCTACACATTTAACTACCTTTATATTTTTATTCAGAATTTTTAAATAAATAAGTTATTGTAAATAATAAAATACATCAAAATCATTCATAAAATCCCAAATACCATCAGAAGCAATAACAATAAACTTATCCTCTGCAGTTAATTAAATTTCATTAATTTCTGGGTCAGCAGTTATACCAGCTGGAATGCCTGCCCTATCACCCATACTTCTAGTCATAGCTAATCCAGGAATATCTGCATTTTATTACCATACTCTTAGAGGACCAACAGGCTATCCGTTATAATGTGCTTAACTTTCTACCCGTCCTCCAGCTTTTATTATTCTATTTTTTTCACTTTCTAATGAAGGTTTATGGTCTGTGGAAAGTTAGCAAGGATAAAAAGGTGTATTGGAAGCTTTTTATTTTGCTAAAATAACTCTAGAGTCACCTACATTTGCAATATAAAGTTTTTTTTTTTGAATAAAAATAGAAATTAATGTAGATCCACTGAGATAGGAATCAACACTTTGAGCAAAAATTTATTTATTTGTTTCTTTATAACTTTATAATATTGTTTATTTAAAATCGTTTGATAAATATTTCTATATATTTAAAGGGAAATTTTTTTAAATTAATTAAGATATTTAATGTCCATTTTATCCTTTTAATATTATTTTATTTAATTTTAATAATAAATATTTGTACCATGACCATCACATATAGCAAAAAGATGAATGTCTAGATCAGCTAGATTTTTAGGATTTACTATTGCTGTATCTTGATTTGTTTTTTCTTTCTTTTGTTAATTGCAACCAGCTTTTGTTTTAGAACAATATATTAATTTGAATTATTATTCTTTTATAAATTGTTGAGGGTGTATATAACTTTAAGAGTTGTTTTTAAAAATTCTTTTTTTTTAAATTTATTTTTTATATTTTATTTTAAATTAACGTGATTATTGGTTTATTAACATAATTATCTATTTAATTCTTTTGAAAAACTAAGTTTTATTAATTTTAAATGTTAATATGAGTATTTTAACCATTTTGAATTCCATTATTATTTTTTATTTATAGAATTTACTAGTTTCTAACTGCGTCTAAATCTATTTTACTATTTTGATTTTATCTATCGGTTAATTCTCCAATAGGTATAATATTATTTTCCTTTTCTTTTTTTATAATGTATTTTTAATATAAATATTTATATTAAAACTGTTAAAATTTGATTGGGAGTAGCATTAGATATTAGGTAATTAAAGTTAAGATAAATTAGTCATTTTATAATTTTAAGTACTTTAAATTTTATATATTAAAAATTATTTATAAAAATTACTGTTTCAAGGCCTCTAATTAGTCAATTATATTAATTTATTTTTAGCTTAATTAATAATAACTTTAATGGTATTAAGATTAAGAGTTTCTAGTTTCTAAGTTTTAATTATTCTTGATCATATGGTTTATTTGTTCAGTCTTTTATAAATTGTTATTGATTTTAGAATCTTATTGATTAAAAATCAATGAGTTGTTTAATCTATTATTATAGTTATTTATTTAATTATGTACTACATAATTTTATAGATGTAGGAAAGATTAATTAAGGGGATTACCATTATATTAAAATTTTCCTGTATTACTTCCCATATGACTTTGATAAGATGTTTTCATTTAATAATAGTTATTTTTTAATTTATTTTTTTAAATTATAATTAATTCTTATAACAAAATAATTAATTTTTTTTTAAATTAAATTAAATATTTTTTTTTTAAATAAAAAAAAATTACTAATATAAACAAATAAATTGAGTTTTTTTTATTTTTTTTTAATTTTAATATAAAATAATAAAGCATTATTAAAATATGCTGAAATTAAAAATATTTATATTTTTAGATATTCAAAAATAAGTCCAATTATTATAGTAAGTGAAATTATTTATATTTTCTTATTAAACTTCATTATCTAAAAAATTGTCCTAAAATTATTAATCATAATCAATTTTATTAAAAGCTTCATATATTCCATCATCAGAACATTATTTTTTTAATTAATCTTATTTTTCCTCTTTTAATTATATTTAATCAATTTATATTTATTATTTTCTTTAACAATAATAAATAAATATATTTTTATTTAAATAAATTACTTATTAGATAAAATTTTCCAATCAATATCTTTAAGCCATTTATGTGCTTTTATATTTACACCAGCTCTTTTGTTTTCATCTTTTTCCATTAACTTTTTAAATAATATATATTTAAAATATGTAATTAAATAATCTACTTAATTTATAAAATCCCATGCATCATTTGAAATATACTTTTCTTTCTTAAGTTTTTAATTCAAAATCTTATCGAAAATTCCCTATTATGTTCTATCATAAAAAGGATTATCCCCTGTTAGTAATTCTAAAGTAATCAACCCTATAGCATACCAATCAATTTTGAATCCATAACTTTTTCTTTTAAGCATTTCAGGTGCCAAATACATAGAAGTTCCACAAAAAGAAGATGTCTTTTATTTTTTATTTATATTCATTTTTACTAACCCGAAATCAATTAATTTAATATTTCCATCTTTATTTAAAAGTATGTTTTCTGGTTTAAGATCTCTATAAATAATATTTTTTTAATGCAATTATTCTATAATTAAAATCAACTCTGCTATATATTTTCTAGCTTCATTTTCTTGTAATCTTCCTTTTCTAAAAATTAACTTACTTATATCCTCTCCATCTATATATTCTAAAACTAAATATAAGTATTTTGTATCTTAAAATGCATAATATAATTAACAAATATATGGGTTTCCTATCATTTTTTCAAGCACTTTTCGTTCGTATAGGATGTATTTTTAAGCCATTTTTTATTCAATTATGTATTTTCCCATTATTTTCATTGCATAATATTTTTCTTAAAAACTAACCAAATTAACCTCCCCAAAGCCTCCAGTTCCTAATTTTCTTATAAATTTAAAGTTCTCAAAGCCTATAACTTTTTAATCTTCCATCATTTATGTTTCAAGCAAATTTTATCTTTTATTCTTAAAATATTTGTTTTTTTCTAAAAATTTTACCACACCATCAACTCTCCCACCTCTTAAAATATTATTTCCAATTATATGTTTTTAATAAAAATGATCTTAAATTTAATAAATTTCTTTAAATTAATTAAAGGCATTAAATCCTTCTACATATCTAATTAAATCAATTGCTTTTAAACCTTAAGAGTTTCTAATATTTAAATCTGGTTTGTAATTTAAAATTTCAGTTATTATTTAATCATAATTTTTTTCTGCTGCATAATGTAGTGCAGTATTATTATATTGATCTATAGCGTTTATATCACATAATTTATTTTCAAGTATATATTTTATGCATTCTAATGAGTTTTTAATACTTGATAAGTGCATGATAGTTCTATTTAATGAAGTAAGCTGTTTAAAATCACAACCTTATTAATGTAATAATTCTAAAATTTAAATGTTATTGTTTTAGGCAGCATAATGAATTGCATTAAAATTATTTGAATTTCTTTTATTTATTTATTTTATATTATTTAAATATTTTCGTATATACAAATTTATTTATTTACTTAACACTAATATTAATATGATTTTAAGATATCATTTCTAAGATTTTTTCTGTATTGTTTTTTTCGCATTCATCTAAAAATTAATTATTATAATTTGATTCCTAATCACTATATATATTTTTAATTTTTCTTTTTATTTTTTTCATTACTTTGATTGTTTATGTTAAGAATTTGTTAAATTTTAACTATTCTTTTAATAATTCATCAATGAATATCTTTTTTTCAAAAATTTAATTTTTTGTACTATAAATTTATTATTAAAAATTTAATTTCATACAGACACATTATTTTTTTTAATTTTATAGCAGGCTTATTCTTAAAAAATTAAGAAAAGTTGAATAAGTTTATTTTATAAATTTTTAATACGAAAATAAAGTTAAAGTAATAAAATATAAATATAAATAATTAAAAATACTTAATAAGAACTATTATAATATATAATCATTTTATAAAATTAACAATCAACTAATTTAAATCTTTTTATAAATTAATTAAATACTAACTAAATCTCTTTTATTATAAATCTAATATATGAAATAATACTTTAATTTTTTATCATAATATTCATGAATAAAATTATATATTATAGAAAAAACGATTTTATAAATAAAAAGTTGTCTAAAAAAAAAAATTAAAAAATTCTTATTTATTTTTTTATAAATTTTAAAAAATTATATTTAATATTAAAATTAATATCTATTCAATATATTTTTCTTTTGTAATATTATGTAATTTATAATTTTCAAAATTTATATTATAATAAAATTAAAAAATACAAATCTTAAAATTAACAAATTATAGTTAATTGAATTATAATTTTTAAATTAAAAATTATTATATTAGTATTATTTTATATTGAGAAGTTATAAATATAAATTAATTTAAATATAAATATTAAAATATGTAAAAAAAAATATATTGTGTTTCAATTTTGTTTAATATCTCATTTAATATTTATTTTATCAAACTTTTAAATTGTAATTAAATAAATGAATACATAATGTTCAAAATTATATAAAAAAAATAAAGACAATATATTATATGACTATATACTAGCGTACTTGCAAACATGTACTTCCAGTTATGGATGTAAAAATTTTATACGCATTAATAAAATATAAAATATATATATATATATATATATATATATATATATAGTTATATATATATATCTTTTGATTCTTAATTTATTTTATTTTATTTAAAAAATATATTTTTTTTAAAATGATATATATATACATTAATAAAGAAAAGAAAAATTTAAAATAACTTAAGTAAATGAAAAAAAAAATGGTCGAAATTTCATCTTATAATTTTATTTTTATTTTAATAATAAATAATATAAACTTTCTTAATAAATAGTATTAAAATATAAATTTTTTATCTAAAAATGGTATGAAATAAGTTTAATTCATAACTTAATATACTTAAAATTTTACAATAAAAAAAAAATTAATATATAAAATTTAATTAACATATGGATTAATAAGTATATTTTTTAATAAACTTTTAATTTGATAAATTTAAATATCGAAATTTGAAAATAATATATATATCTAAATAGAATTTCAAATCTATATTAAAAAAAATATCCATGAGTATTTAACGGAAAATAAAAAACTTTAAAAATAATTAAAATAAATATTAATCTAATGTTTTTAGAATTAATTCGTTCTAAATTGTCGATAAAAATATTTTTAATTTTATTATTCTTTAATTAAAAATAAAAATTTAATATGTGTTTAAATAGTTATCAAATTTATAAGAAATTAATTTTGCATAATTATTTTTTTATAAAATATAGGTAATAATTTAAATATATATTCATATTAATTAATATGTTAGAATAAATGTTACACATATAATACATTAAAAAAAAATCTTAATTATTTCATTAGTATTTTTTTGTTAATAATATAAAATATTAATTAAACTTTTATAAATTTTATATTAATAAAAAAATAGATTTTATTTACAAATAAATATATTTAATAAAATCAACTTAATGTTTAATAATAATAATTAATGAAATTTATTATATTTTTAATTTAAATTTTTTTTCTTTAATTTAAAAAAATATATATAAAAAATTTTGATTTTAAATTCATAAAATAAATAGAATTAAAAATATGAGCAATTCTTAAAGACAAAAAAACAATTAAGAATTAATAAATGAAATGAAAAGGTTAAAATACAATTTTTAAGAATTAAAAAATCCATTTCATAAAATCCAATAGAATTAATAATAAATGCCAAATGTTTAAAAGATTTCAAATTTTACATAAACAGAATAAAATTTATTATAAGAAAACGATTTTTTATATTAAAACATACAATAAGATATTAATAAACTTTAAATTGAAAATATAAAACTTAATAATATATTAAAATAAACATAAGAGTAATTAGCAATAAATGGAAAAAATTAAAATAATACTTCTTCTTAGCATTTACTTCCTTCTGAATTTAAGTAAAAATGGGAAACATTAGTAAAAAACAATATTTCATCTGCATTTATTAATTTTTTTGAAAATCCATATTTATTAACACATATAATTTAAGAGCTTTTGATTTAAATAGATGAGTTTTCAAAGGAAAAAATAAAAAATATAACTCAAATGATAATGAATATCTTAAATTTAGATTAAAAACATTTAAAAATATTCCAATAGAATACTCTTAAATTATTTTAAGATTTTAATAATGATATTTTTAAAATTAATTAGGAAAATATATAATAAATTATAACTTAATTTAAATAAATCTGTTTATAAGTAATTATTAGAGAACCTTAATTTAAAGAAATAAAAGACTAAACTTTAGAATATTTTGAAGAACTTGTAACTTCAGACGAATTATCAAACACAATTTTGGAAATTTATAACCTTTTTATACATATGAATTTGAATGAACCTGTACTTTATGTAAATATTAATTCTTTTCTAAAAAAGAGAATTTAATTACGTTACTTATAAAAAAAATGATTTTTATTTAATTGATGGATTTGTATAAAATGAAGCTCCTGCTTTGATTGTTATTCCATAAATAATGAGGGGTAATCAGGTTTATTGTGGAATTAAAAATTCGGTTATTATTTTAGGTGAAGAATTTATTAGTTAAGAAATTTTAAATTAAATTTAGGTTAATAATGAAAATTTAAAAAATAAAAAAAAATTTGAAGAAGAGGAAGAAATAAAAATTTTAAATTGGAAAAATTAGAAAAATGATAATTAAATAAATAATTAATAAAGTAATATATAAGAAATAAATAATTTAAAAAATAGCTTCTTAAATACAAATAAAAACAATTTAGAAAATATTTATTTAAATACAAATAATTTTGAGAAAAAAATTGAAGATAAAAAATATTAAATTGAAAACGTATCTAAAAAAGTAATTGAAAATTAAATTAATGAATAAATCAATGAAAATAATACAAAAATTTAAAAAAAAGATGATAAAATTTTTATTTTTAACGATATTACTTAATAAGAATGTAACAAATATAGAAAGAACAACAAATCTGAAGATGAAAATAGAATTATTAATTAAAATAATATACCAAATAAAAAAATTAAAAGTCATTCTATTTATTAAGAAAAACCAAAAAATTACACATTTAATAATTTTTTAGAAAATCATAGAAAAAATATGAAAAAGTTTGATGAAAACTTAGTTGAATAATAAAGTATGAATAGATTTACTAAAGATAATAATGAAAAAAAAGAATCTTATGTAAAATCTTTTGATGCTTAGGAAAAAAATTATTTTAAATAAACATAAAATCATAAAAATATAACAATAATAGATTAATTAAAAAATGAAATAAAAAAATAAAAAATTTAAAATTTAATGAATAATTTTAGTAGTGAAAGTGAAGAAGATTATAAATAAATTTATTATAATAATAAAAAAAAACTAATTAAAAAAAAGAAAATGAATAAATTTTAGAAAATAGACCTTTTAAAAATGAAAATATTAAAAGTAATACATTTTATAAATTAAAAAATAATATCAAATAAAAAAACATTAATAAAAATATATGATATAAATTAAAAATAAAAAAAAAAACTTTAAAATGTTTTAAAACCTTAAAAATAAATAAAATTTAATTAAATGTAAATTTTAAACTTATGTTTTTAAATTTTTATTTTAATATATAAATATTTTAAGAAATAAATTTAAAAAAAAAATTGTTATTATTAAAATTTATTTTATAAAAGATAAGTAATTATTATATATAAATACATAAATTAATTAAATTATAAATAATTAGAGTAATAATTAATTTTATTCATATTTTAAAGTTATTTTCTTTTATATTTCTAAGATATTTTCTATTTTACTTCTCAATATTATTAAAAAAATTAAATTTAAAATAATTTATTTAATGTTTTATATTTTTATACAAAAAAAATATTGTTTCAATATTATTCTATATCCAATTTAATAAAAGCCATTTCACATATATTAGAATTATCATTATTATTTTATTTATTAAAAATATTTAAATTTATTTCTTAATTTTAATTAAAGTTTTCAGCCACATTTTAAAACTTATCAAACTGATAGTTTTCCGAATTATAATTAATTTCATCAAAGTTAAAGTTCGATTTATCAGTTTAATCTTAATTAAAAATTTATGTTTAATTAACCCGATATTAAAATTACACTTACATATTTATGGATTAATTTTATTTTATTATTTATTATTACTGTTATTAGATTTATTTATTTTATAATGATTTTTATTTTAATAATCTAAGTTTTTCTCTAATTTATTTATTTTTTAATTTTTTTTCCTAACTAATTAGATATTACTTTTGATTTTTTATTTGATATATTTCTTATTTGTCATTTTTTTATTTATATATATCTTATTATTCGTTTTTTAAATTCAATTTTATAGAATTTAACTAATCTTAATTTGAGGTGTTATAGATATCTTATTCCTATTTTTCTTTTAGATTTCTTTAAATATCATCCTACTCTTGTTTTATATTTATTTTTTATTAATCTAAATTTATAAATCGTGTTCTTAATAAAAAAGCAAAAAATATAAATAAATAATTTATTACTTTTTAAATTTTATAGAATTTAAAATTAACCATTTAAGTTTTCTAATATATATATATATATATATATATATATATATATATATATATATAATATTTATATTTTTTACTTTCCTATTTTTTTTATTTTAATTTATTAACTTTTGTATTATAATTTTAAAAAAAATCTTATTTAGTTATTATCTATCCTTCTTTTTACTTTAATATTTTCTATACTAGTAATTTTACAGTTGAATGATCCATATTAAAAATTCTTCCTACTCCTCTATAAGTTTGAACCTTTTAATACTCTTCAAATACTTTCCATTTTTCCTCTAATGATAAATCTCTTATGCCTTTCTTTTTTTCATTTTTTAATTATCTTATCTTTTTTTCTTTTAGTTAATTTTTGATATTTTCTTAATCATATTTTACTCTTTTTTTTTTAATTTATTATTATTTAAATTGTTAAATTTCTTCTTTTTAAAAAAACTAGGTTTTTTCTTTTGTGTTTTATTCTTAAAGATGAAACAAATAATTTTTTAATTTTCTTAAAAATCATTATCTAAATTTTTTTTAAATAAAAAATTAATTTAATTATTTGGAATTAATTAGTTTTGTTCATTTAGTAGTTGATGTATTTATTATTAATTTTTTAAGTTTTGTTAATTTCCTTATCCATTTAAATTATGATAAGTATTTTCTATATTTTATTTATTTTTTATAAATAATATCTATTTCTAATTTCCATTATTTTCCACCTATTAATTTGTAAGATAATTTTAATTAAATTATTAATAATATCCATTTAAGTTATTTATATCTAAATTTACATTATTTTAATAATTTAATCCTTATTATTCTTAATTACGCAATCCTAAATAAGTTAATTGTTGAGTATTTTATTAAAAATTATAGGTCTGCTAAATTTATTAATTCTAATATGGCTATTGATATTAATGCTAAATCTATTATTGATAATTTTGCTGTAATTGCTAATATTACTGTTATTATTATGAGTAATTTAAGTCTTAAACAGGTTTTTAGTAACTTTATTATTAGCTTAAATCAGATAAATATAATTATAAATTATTTTCAATTGGTTGTTGGCTATAGTTGTAATTCAAGTAAATGCTTTCTTATGATTTTTTCTAATTTAACAACTTATTTTAAGCTACTGTGTTGTAATATAAAAATTAATTATATTTAACTTAAATTTTAGAAAGATTTAATTCAATATATTATATTTTTTATATGTACTTTATTCTAGTTGATTCATTATTTCTTTATCCATTTTTTAATTTTTTTAATTTCAATTATTTATTGTTTTATTTTATAAATAATATATTATATATTTTCTTTCTTTAAATAATATATATATTTTTCAGGTAAATTTATATTATTATTTCTTTATCAATTATTAAAATATTAAAATATAAAAATAAATTTTAATAATATATTACTAATTAATTTTATTTATTATTTCATTTGATAATTTTTTAATTATATAAAAAAATTTATGATTTTTTTTTTTTTTGATATAACAATTTTAAAATTTTTTCTTTGCGTTAATATATAAAAATATTTTATTTAAATTAGAAAATATTATAAGAAATAATTTTATATGTTTTATAAAAAATTAATATTTTAAAATAAATTATAATACTTATATTATTTATAAATAATAAAATTAAATAAATAATTTTAAATCCTAAATATTAATAATTCAAAAAATTGTGAAAAATTAAAAAATATTATATATTAATATAAATATATTATAAATATTATTTATTTACTTATTATTTAAATATTTTATTATATTCATTTATTTGATAATTATTATATAATTTGAATTTTAAATTAAAAAATTTTAAAATATGCTTATAATAATTTTTTTTATATTTCAATATATATATAACAAAAATTATTTTGTAATTCATTTACTTTTTTGTAATTCATTTACTTTAATTAATTAATTATTTAGAAATTAATATTTTTATTTATTATGCTAAAAATATACTATTTCACCATATTTAATATTATTTAAATTAATTATATCAACTATTTTTTAAGTAAATTTAATTATTTTCGAATTATTCTATACTATTAAATTATTGCTTTCTTTTTCTGTTGTTTAGAATATATGTCTACTCTAAATTTTAAGAATTTTAATCACATAAATTATCAAATATAATTAGATTTTAAATTCGAAAATATTTATCTATCTAAACCCATTTAAAAATTTAATAAATCAATATATATTTTTTTAATTAAATATTTTTAAAACAATCTTATAATATAAATTAATAATTTCAAGTTTATTAAATTATACTATTTTATTTATTTAAAATATTGAAATATTTAGTTTTGTTATAAATCACTATAAACATATTATTTTGCATTTAATCGGAAAGTCTTTTATAAATCAGATTAATATTTATTTAGCTTATAAAAATTCTAAATTTAGGAATCTTATTATTTTTCTTTAAAATGTATTGGTACTTTCAAAGAGTTTTATATAGAATTATTTTATTATTATTAATTTTCTAAATTAAAATAATTATTATATTTTTAAATTATATGTCATTTAGTATATTCATTATATTTAAAAAATATTGGATTCAATTTTTAAATTAAAATTATTTGTTTATCTTATAATTGTTAAAAGATAAAGATAAAATTTTATTCCTTTGCGTAAAATATATTTGTCGGGTTTACATTTTCAGTTAAAATCTTTTGAAGTATAAATTTAGATTTTTAAATTTTTATAATTATTTACATCTATATAATTATCTTATATTTAAGGATTTTAGTTTTGAAATCAAGTTGCTCTTCCGATTGATTTCATATGAAACTTACTTCTGTAAAAATACTTCAATTTTTTTATAAATAAATTATTTTTAATATATTGTTTATTATTATTAATATACAATAAATTATAAATATCTTAAATTCATATTTTTACATTAATATATATAAATATAAAATTTTAATAATATATTAAATGCTTATATTTTTGATATTATCATCATTTTTTTTAAATAAAATTAAATAAATCAGTTTTTTTATTGGAAATGCACTTGAACATATAAAATTCTTACAAATTCTATCTAAACAATAAATCTATTTTATATTTATTTATCTCAGAAAAAGCTTTATTTCGCCTTCTAGAACTTCTATAATGCGCAAAAGACCCACTAAATCTCTTTAGTAATTACTTATTGTATAACTTTTATTGAATTTATAATTATTTCGAAATTTTGTGATTATTCAAAAGTATTATTTTTATAAAACTTTTTTTTTTATATATTATATATATTTACTTTTTTAGTTTTATTTTAGTTGATAAATTCGTATGAAATATTATAAAAATAATAAGCTTTTTAAATCTGAATAGGTATCATTTATGATGTTTTATTTTAAAAAAGAACATATTTCTGATAATTATATTTTTTATATAAAATTAGAAAATTTATTAAATAGGAATATAAAATTTATTTTAATTTGTTAAAATTTAACTAGAAACTTAATTTTCTTCTATTTTTTGATATTATTTGAAATAATTATATGTTTTTTTTGTCAACATTATTATTAATTCATTAAAAAATTTAACTACTATAAACCTAATTAATTTTAATTTTAATTAATAATAATTTTATAAAATTTTTATAAAAAGAATATCTAAAAAAAGTTAAATAAAAAGTATATATTTATTGATTTTATTATATAAGCTAAAATATATTTTTATTAAATTTAATTAATAAAAAAATATAAGAAAAATGAGTGAATCATTACTTACAAATTTGTTATAAAATTAAAATAAAAAAAGCTTAAAATTATAATAAGTTAGTAATCTTTTTGATAAGTAAATTACATAAATAGTTTAACCTACAATATAAGAATAAAACTAAGATAATTAATAATAATAAGAAATAGATTTAGAAAAATTATAAAAAGAGGAAGAGTAAAGAACTGTTTTTGTAGGAAATATACATATAAATGCAAAATCTAAAGATATCTAAAAAATATTTAAGTAATATGGAAAAATAGAAAAAATATGGTTCCGTTCAATTCCAGTTGAAAAAAGTAAAATTGGAAAAAAAGCTGCAATAATGCTAAAATAAGTAAAATATGATTAATAGCAAAATTAATAATTTTTTATTAAAAAAGTATAAAGAAGGTGCAGATTGCAAAACTGCTTATGTGATGTTTTCTTCTGAAGAGGAAACTGAATATGCTCTACAAGCTAATAACATTGAATTAATGTAAAAGCATATAAGAGTAGATAGAGCTGGATAAAAAACAGTAAAAAAAATATATATATTAATTTATTTTTAAATTTAAAAAAGCTTGATTATACAAAAACTATTTTTATAGGAAATCTTCCTTTTTAAATTACAGAAGAAGCATTAAGAAACCATTTTATTGATTGTGGAAATATTTAAAACTTAAGAATTATTCGAGATCCTTATACCCATAATGGAAAAGGCTTTGGTTATATATATTTTGAGGATATTTTGAGTTTTAAAAATGCCTTGCTAAAGAATGGAAGCCTTTTAGAAAAAAGAAGTATAAGGGTAAAGAAAGCAGTGCCTGAGAAAAAATTAATTAAAAAATAAAAACAGAGAGACTCTAAAAACTAAGAATATGCTATTTAGAGGTTAAAAGTAAAAGAATAGAGATAAAATGAGTAACAATAGTTTTATTAAAATAAAAAAAGATTTGTAAAGAATAATAACTTTTAAAAAGATAAAAATGTTTTTAATAATACAAATAAAAAGTTTCTACCAATTCAAAAGAAAGTAAATATTTATAAAATATTATTACTTATTTAATAAAAATTTAAAAAAAAGATTTTTAAACCTAAAAATAATTGATTTTTAAATAATTCAAATATACAAAATTAAGTAAATATAAATCAGATTGTTATGAGCATATTGTCATTTTTAAATTAAATAATTTTATTTTATATATCAATTTATTTTTACACATCAATATAAATGATAAAAACAATATTATAATTGCTTTAAATAAAAAAATGTATATTACTTTAATAAATATACTATTATTGTTATTTTTTTGAAAAAATATAATCATTAAAAAAAATATTTTTTTTAAACTAATTATATATGTTTTTTTTATTAAAAAATCGATTTATCAATAATTTCATTTCACTTTCTATATATTGAAGATAATGAAGAATTTTTTTTTTTTTAATGTTTAAAGAAGAATTTTGATTTAATTTTTTTATAGTATTATCTGTTTTTAATGATTTATTATTTGCTTATTTTTTTTCATTTTCAAGCATTTTTTTTAACTTATTAAATTTAATGTTAAAATGTTCTATAAAATTTGAATTATCTTATTATTATTTATTTTTCATTTAAGTTGTTTATTATATTTCATGTTTTTTTTTATTTGATTTTTTGACTATAGGAGGCTTATTTTATATATTTTATTTGCTAATATTTTCTTTGTTTTAATTAATTTTGAAATCAGAACCCTAAAAAAATTAACTTTAACTATTTTAATTAATTATTTCACTTTCCTCTTTTTATAACTAACTTTAATTCTAAATTTATTTTTATATTAAAAATTAGTTTACTTATTCAGTATTTTATACATATATTTATTATTAATTTTATTATCTTTGTTTTTTTTTAAAAAATAAAATATATATTTATTATTATGTACCTCGAAAATTCTATTTTTTATTTAAGGATTTCATTCTCTTATTTCAAAATATTAATTTCATTATTATTTTCGTTTTATTTATTATTTTATATTTAAAATTTAACTTTTAATTAATTATTTTCTTGTTTAAGTTAGTAATTTTCTTTTTCTAATAAATTTATTCTATCTTCGAGAATTGAAGTCCTATTTAAATATAACTCTTACATTTTTTTTAATTTTTAAAATAGATTTTCTTAATTATTGTCAACATAAGTATTAGGAGAAATGCTTTATTGATAATCTTCATTATTATTTATATTATTAGAATATCCTTATCTTATATTTTTTATATTATTAAATCTACTTTATAATTAAAATATTTATTTATCTAATTCATCACTATTTTTTATTGAAATTTATGAATTATTTAAATTTTAATCTTATTGATTAAAATTAAATTATGCATTTTAGTTAATATTAATATTATTTTAGGATACACTTTTTTCATTAAAATCATATACTAAAAGCTTTTTATTAGATGATGGGCATTTTTTTAATTTGTTTTCTATATTTAAAAGAATCTAATTTGTTTTTTCAATTTATATTAAATTTAAATCTATGTTTTATAATTATTATTGGTTCATATTTAAATTTATATAAATATTTTTTTTATATAGATTTTTTTTAATGCACTTTTAAAAAATAAAAAAATATTTGTTTAATTTAAATATAATAATTAATTTTTTTAAAAAAATATTAATTTTATATTATACTTGTAATAAATTATATATTGTTTTATATAATTTTATAATTTTTTGACATAAAAAATTTTATTAAATTCATATCATTATATTTTTTCTATTTTTAATCAAAAAATAATATAAATTACATAATTAATTTTAAATATATAAAAAAAATGAATGAAGATGAAAAAGAACTTTTTAAGTATTTACATCCTCCAGCAGATGTCTATAATATAAATCATGATTGTAAAAATTTTTTTAAAAAAAGATAATTTTAATAAAGAAATTACAATTATTATAAAAATAGAAAACTATATTTTAGCTAAAAAATCAAATGGAAAAAAAATTAGAAATATTTTTTATAATGTGACGTTGACAGATCAAGAAGAGTAAGAAATTAATCAATTTGAAGATTTTTTAAAACAATAAAATATTAATCTACCAATAAAGTATTAAATACAAAAAATTTTAATAAAAGAAATAAAAAGATGGGAAAGGATAACAAGTTTAAAATATTTATATGTATAAGACTTTAATTATAAAAAATCATTTGAAACTATAAAAAATCATATTTAATGGTTAAATAATTAATAAATTTAAAATCCTTAACAATAAATAATTGATAAATACTTAAATGCAGGTTTTATTTATACTTTTGGAAGAGATAATCAATACAGACCAATTGTAATAATAAATGCCGATAAGCTAAAAGCTTTGAAAGCTGGAAAACAAGAAATGGTAAATATAATTGCTGCTCTATGTAAAATATTGAATACTGTTAATAAATATATGTTTGTTAAAGGAAAAGTTGAAAATTGGATAATTATAATAGAAACTAATGGATAAGGCTTATTTGACTTAGATTTTAATGTTTTATTTTTTATTTATTAAATAAAAAAATCAATAAAAAAAGGCTTTAGTTTAGTTAATTAACTGTATGACTACTAATTACGTTTGTATTTTACATAGATTAATAATTACGAACCCAAGTTGGATTTTTAGATAAGGGTGGTAACTTGTTTCTGGTAAAAATAATATGCGAAATATTTTTTTTATTTTTTTATTTTTTAAGCTTTTTTAAGATAAGATAATTTAAATAAAATATGTTTCTTGTCGAAAGACTAGTTTCATTAATTTCAATCTTTTGGAATAAATGCTGACTAGCTTGAAGAAAAATATGGAGGAACAGCTGAAAATTAAACTTAATTTTGGTAATTATATAATATATTCAAATATATAAAATTAAATTTAAAAAAATATAGGCCTCCAGTAAATACTTTTTAAAAAATAGATTAACTCCATAATTAACACGATTTTAGTTAAGAATATTATTCTTTTTAAGATCTTTCTCATTTTTAATCTGGAAATTTTTTAAATATACTACACACATAATAAAATGAATAAAATAATGATTAAATTTTAAAAAATTAAATTGATTAACCTAAATATAATTGTTAATGTTGTTTGTGAAAAGAATCATTATTTTTAATTTATTTATAATTAACAAATATGATTTTTTTTTTAAAAAAATAATATTAAATTTTTTTTTTTTTAACTATTAAATTAATTATATTTAAATTTATGATTCATTGTTTTATGAAATCAGAATCATTAATTTTTCCTAAATAAGCTTCTATTATTTAACTAAAATTCTAAGTTTTAAATTAAAAATCAAAAACAAAACCAGGAATTGAAATAAAAATGTTAATATTAGTATTTTAACATTTTTTTTTCAAAAACTCAATAGTTTCATCAATAATAGGTAATTAAGGTATTTATTTGCTAATTTTCTTTCTTTATTGTTTAGTAATGCTCCAAAAATTTTACTTTGAATTACTCATTTGAGTTTTAAAAAAATCAAATAAAGATTCGAAATCTAATTATATATCTACTCCTTTAAGTAGACTAAATAAGCTTTAAAATAAATTCTTTTTCCTTACTATATTCCCTTTTTTTATTTATTTAATTACATTTTTACTTAAAATTTGTATAATGTATTGATGGATGTATTATGTTATTTTTATTTCAGCTTTAAAATACATATTTTTATACAATTCGTTGTGAAATACAACGTCTAAGTCTTCAATAAATTTTTTTATGTCCAAATCAGATTTAAATTAAATATTAAAGATTAAACTTTAATCTTCATAATTAAAATTCTTGATTAATTAATTATATTTATCTAAAATATCTTATACAATATCTATTTATGATGTTATTGATAATAGAATATAATTTTCTTCATATAACTCTAGTTTTATGTCTATTAATTTTAAATAAACTGAAACTTAAGGGTGAAAATTCTCTACAAAATCATAAATTTTATCAAATTATTCCTATTTTAATTTTAATTTTATATTTTAATATTATGTTTTTTACTTTAAATTCATTTATGTATTCCTTTGCATTACAACATTCTATTTTTATTATTATGGAAGGATAGTTATCTTTTATTTATAGTTTTTAATAGTATTTTTCAATAAATTTTATAGCTTCAATATGGGAATAAATAAAAAAACTTAATTAAAATAGATGATCTTCTTTTTAAATATTTCCTACTTAAATATTATATTAATTAAAATGCGTATTTTTTATTTAATTTCGTTTTTAATTGTTTATATTTTGCATTTATTTTATTAAATTTTCTATGTTTTTCTCTATATTTATTTTAAAATTAAAAAGTTTTTATAAGTTTTCTTCTTTATTGTACTAAAACCATTAATAAAATTCATTAAATGATATTACTCCATCTTTATTTAAATCCATGCAATCAAAAATCTAATTAATTTTTAGAAAATAATATTATTTTTATATATATACTTTCTCTTGCTCTTATGTTGTTAACGGAGGATTAATTTCTTTTGAAAATATAGAGAATTCTTCAACTGATAAATGTCCATTTTTATTAGAATCAATATTTTCAAATAGCTATTTTATTTATTATTTTTTAGACATTATTACTTTATTTATTTTTTCGAAGAATTTTGAATTTAAATTATTTAATATAAAATCTAAATAATTATATTTTATACAATTCAAAATAAGTAAAGAATAGTATTTTATAATTTAACTATTATTAATTTATTAATGGATATAAAATAAATATTTATTTTATTCTTTTCTTAATTTAATAAATAGATATTTTATTTTGTTATATAAAACGATAATTTTTTAAAAAAATATAAACAAAGTAGTATTTATAAAATATAATTAAAAAATATATAATTATTAATAAGTTAAATTATATAACTTTTTCAAATTATTCATTTATTATCAAATATTTTTTATTTTTAAAAAATATAATTATATTAAATAAGATAATTTATTTTTTAAATTAAATATTTATTTTTACATGTAATAAGATACATATTTTTTTTTCTTATTTATTTTATTTTTTTTACTTTTATATAAATATTATTAATTTCCTATTTATTTTTATATATTTTCTTATTTCAAAATTATTTAAATTGCAAAAAAAAAAATTAAAAATAAAATTTATTTACTATTTAAATTTCAAATAAAAAACATTAATTTCAAAAAAACATGAACAAATAAACACCGTAAAGAAGTATATTCCTTCATTCACCAAACCGTAGTGGTATAGGAGGTGTTTTGTCATCTACATATCGTGCAAATTATACTTAAAACCGTAATTTGCCTTCCACAAATCCTATAAAAGGCCCAACTCCTGATCTTATGCCTAGAAATGAACGTATATCATAAACATAAGTACCTCATGGGTAAAAAAACACATATAAATGAATATATTTTAAATATATTTTAATTATTTAGACTAAGAAAAGTTAATAAAAACGCTATGTCTGTTTCTCCATAGAAGGGAGGATTATATAGTACTGAAGGATATTATACAGAATAACTAAATTAAATTGTAAGAGAAAAAAATTAGTAAATTGAATAGCTTCGATAAAAAGTTTCTTAATTGCAAGCTGAATTATAAATTTTTAAAAAAGATAAAAATCAACAATATGTAATTTTAATTTAAATAAAAAAGTATATATATATATATATATATATATATATATTTATATATTTATATATATATATACACATTTTTTTTATTACTTATATTTATGTTTATATATTAATAAATAATTTTATTTAAAATAAAATATTTTTAATATTTTTATATAATTTATTCTACATTAAAAAAGTCTGAAAATGATGTTGCTTAGTTAATATCTGAATTAGAAAGAATGAATACTTAATTAGTAAAATCTAAAGAAAATTAAATAAAATTAAGTTCTTAGCTAGCTAACTTTGAAGAACAAATAGTTATTTTAACAGATTCAAATAGAAGACTTTAAATCGAAAATGAATAATTTAAAAATAATTGTATTTAGTATGAAAGTACTATAATGATATTAAATAACAAACTTAGTTAATTTGAATAAGAAGATTAGAAATTAAAAAGAGCTGTCAAATAAAAATCTGAAGAAGATTAATTAGTAGCCAAATATTATTAATAAATATAAGAATTATAATCATTAAATAAATCTTTGGAAAGTTAAAATCAAGAAACTTCTTCTTAATTATTATTAGTAGCTGAAGAATTAAAGAAATTAAGTGAAATTAATATAAATTAGAATAACAAAATAAAACTTTTATAATAATAAATAAATGAAGGTTAAACAAAAAAACAACAAAACTAATTAATTGAAGAAAAGTTTATTTAATAATAGGCTACTTTTGAAGAGTAAAACAGAAAATTAATTGAATTAAATAAGCTTAATTAGTAATATGAAATAGATAATTAAAATTTGGGAAGATGCAACTAATTAATGTAAGTGAAAATAGAAGAATTGTGCAAAGTTATTTAAAATTAAGAAAATTAAATTAATGAAAATAGATTGTCTACATATGAAAATTAAGGAATTAAACTCTAAATTTAAGATTTTGAAAAGAAAATTAAATAAAAGGATGAAGATATGTTACATATTATTAAATAAAATCAATAATAAGTACTTGTTTTATCTTAAGAAATAACTTAACTTAACTAATAAATCTAAAATCTTTAATAAGAAAATAAAAATATTTAAAATAACCATTAATTATCTGTTTCAGATAAAAAAGGCATTGAATTATAATATTAAGAGCTTGAAAAAGCACTTAGAATGTTACATGAATAATATGAAAGATTAAAACAAGAAAATAGCTAAACTATGCAAAAATGTGTAGAATATTAAAATTAAAATGAAGAAATAAGAAGATCTTCATATGTTTAAAATATGGACAAAGAAAATATAACTAAAGTTGTAAAGTAATTATAAGAAAAAATAGATGAATTATTAATTTTAATATCAAATAAAGATAAGTAAATAAATGAATTAAATAATTAAATTACTAAATAAAATTAAGATTACTAATAATAGTTATAATAAATTTAAAGTGAGAATGAAGAATAAAGGAGATCTTCTTATATGTAAACTTTAGATAAAGAATAGTTGTAATAGGTTGTCAAATAACTTAATTAAAATATCGATTAATTAAAAATCATTATTAATAATAAAGAAAAAGAAATAAATGATCTAAATGAGAAACACAAACAATAACAATAAGAATTAAATTAAAAATATTATTAATTATTTAATGAGGCTGAAGAAATAAGAAGGTCATCGCTTATTGAAAACTAAGATAAAGAATAATTAAAAAAAGCTCTTAAATAATAAATTGAATAATAACAATATATTCTATAAAATAAAGATAAAGAAATTAACGATCTTAATAAAACTTATACCTAAAAAAATTAAGATTTATAAAAGTAATATCAATAATTAATGAATGAGCACGAAGAGTTTAGAAGATCATCATATGTTTAAACTTTAGACAAGGAATAATTATAATAAGCAATTAAAAAACTTTAAGAACAAATTGATTAATAGGCATATATAATTAAAAATAAAGACAAAGAAATAAATGAAATTAATGATAAAAGTCAAAAGTAAAATTAAGATTTAGTAAAATAGTATCAACAATTATTTAGTGAAACTGAAGAAATTAGAAGATCTTCTTATATGTAAACATTGGACAAAGAATAATTATAATAATTAACTAAATAATTATAAGAGAAAATTGATTAATAATAAATTTTAATTTAAAATAAAGATAAAGAGATAAATGAAATTACCACAAGAAACAAAAAAGAAAATGATGACTTAATTTAATAATATTAATAATTGTTTAATGAAGCAGAAGAATTCAGAAGGTCTTCATATTTATAATCTTTAGACAAAGATTAATTATAAGCTGCTCTTAAATAAATTTAATAAAAATTAGAATAATAATAATTAATTCTCAAAAATAAAGATAAAGAAATAGTTGAAATAAATTTAAACAATTAAAAGAAAAATGAAGAACTTCAAAATTAATATTAATAATTGCTTAATGAACATGAAGAATTTAGAAGATCATCATATTTGCAAACTTTAGATCAAGAATAATTAAAACAAATAGTTAAAAAACTTTAAGAACAAATCGATTAATAAATATTAATCATTAAAAATAAAGATAAAGAGATTAATGATATTAATGCTAATAATTAAAAAAAAAACTAAGAAATATAAAATTAATATTAATAGTTATTACATGAAGCAGAAGAAATTAGACGATCATCTTATATGTAAACTTTAGATAAAGAATAATTGCAATAAGTTGTTAAATAATTATAAGAGAAAATTGATTAATAATAAATTATAATTTAAAATAAAGATAAAGAAATAAATGATATTAATAATCAAAAAGCAAAATAAAAACACGAATAATAATAATAATATTAATAATTAATAAATGAATACGAAGATTATAGAAGATCTTCTTATATGTAATAATTAGATAAAGAATAATTACAGTAAGTAGTTAAAAAACTTTAAGAATAAATAAATTAGTTGTAAACTATTATTTTAAATAAGGATAATGAATTAAATGATTATAAAGATAATAATATTAAAAAATCTAAGTTAAATAAAGATTTGGAATAATAATATTAATAATTACTTAATGAAGCTGAAGATTTAAGAAGATCTTCTTAAATTTCTGTCTAAGATAAAGATTAATTACTATAAGTTATCTAAAAGCTTAAAGAAAAAATACAATTTAAAGATTAGGAAATAAGTGAAATTAATGCAAATAATTTATAAAAAAATTTAGAACTTTAAAATTAATATTAATAATTGCTTAATGAAGCTGAAGAATACAGGAGATCTTCTTATATGTAAACTTTAGATAAAGAATAGTTGTAATAGGTTGTCAAATAACTTAATTAAAATATCGATTAATTAAAAATCATTATTAATAATAAAGAAAAAGAAATAAATGATCTAAATGAGAAACACAAACAATAACAATAAGAATTAAATTAAAAATATTATTAATTATTTAATGAGGCTGAAGAAATAAGAAGGTCATCGCTTATTGAAAACTAAGATAAAGAATAATTAAAAAAAGCTCTTAAATAATAAATTGAATAATAACAATATATTCTATAAAATAAAGATAAAGAAATTAACGATCTTAATAAAACTTATACCTAAAAAAATTAAGATTTATAAAAGTAATATCAATAATTAATGAATGAGCACGAAGAGTTTAGAAGATCATCATATGTTTAAACTTTAGACAAGGAATAATTATAATAAGCAATTAAAAAACTTTAAGAATAAACTGATTAATAGGCATTTATAATTAAAAATAAAGAAAAAGAAATTTAAGATATTTCTACATAAAAATAAAAGCAGACACAAGAACTAAAATAGTAATATTAATAGATTTTAAATGAGGCTGAAGAATTTAGAAGGTCTTCATATTTATAATCTTTAGATTAAGAGTAACTAAAATAAACTCTTAAATAGCTATAATAAAAGTTAGAAGATTAAAAGATTTATATTAATAATAAAGATAAAGAAATAGTTGAAATAAATTTAAACAATTAAAAGAAAAATGAAGAACTTCAAAATTAATATTAATAATTGCTTAATGAACATGAAGAATTTAGAAGATCATCATATTTGCAAACTTTAGATCAAGAATAATTAAAACAAATAGTTAAAAAACTTTAAGAACAAATCGATTAATAAATATTAATCATTAAAAATAAAGATAAAGAGATTAATGATATTAATGCTAATAATTAAAAAAAAAACTAAGAAATATAAAATTAATATTAATAGTTATTACATGAAGCAGAAGAAATTAGACGATCATCTTATATGTAAACTTTAGATAAAGAATAATTGCAATAAGTTGTTAAATAATTATAAGAGAAAATTGATTAATAATAAATTATAATTTAAAATAAAGATAAAGAAATAAATGATATTAATAATCAAAAAGCAAAATAAAAACAAGAATTATAATAGTAATATAATTAATTACTTAATGAAACTGAAGAAATAAAAAAGTCTTAATATCTATAAGCGTTAGACAAAGAATAATTATAAGTAGTAACAAAATAACTATAATAAAAGATAGATGATTTAATTTAACTTAATAGCAATAAAGAAAAAGAAATAGCTAATTTATAGTCTTAAATAAATAAATAAAATATTGAACACATTTAGCAATACTAATAATTATAAACTGAAGCTGAAGAAATCAGAAGATCTTCTTAAATGCAAAATGTAGATAAAGAATAGTTATAACAAATTAACAAATAATTAATAAATTAAATTAATGATCAAAAGATTATAATTTAAAATAAAGATAAAGAAATAAATGATAATAATGTTAAACATTCTAAATTATAATAAGAATTGTAAAATATATGCAATTAATTATAAGCTGAAAGTGATGAATTAAGAAGATCTTCTTATGTACAAACATTGGATAAATAATAATTATAAGATATTAACAAATAATTAAAAAATTAACTAGATAATTTAATTAAATAAGTTTCTGATAAAGATAAAGAAGTTAGCGAATATAGATAATCTACATATGAAAACAGTGGATTAAAATAAAGATTATAAGATTTAGAAATTTTAATAAAGAAAAAAAATGAAGAAAATGATTTATTAATTAAAGAATTAGAAAAACTTAAATTTGCTTTATAAGAAGAAATTTCTAAATATAGTAAATAAAAGTAAGAATATGAAAGAGTTATTTAATAATAAAAGCAAGAAATTACCTTTTTATTATCATAAACATAAATTAAAGAAAAAGAATTGTAATAATTGGCTTAAGCTTATTAAGATTTAGATAAAGACTTTAACGAAAATAGAAGAAGTTCGAGTATGATTTTAGGTTAAACATAATAAGAAAAAGCTAAAATGGAATAAGAGTTCTATAGATTATAATAAGAAAACAGTAAATTAGTTTAAGAATTGAAATAAACATAAGCTAAGCATTAATTGATTATTGAAGAAATAAAAAAATAGATGGAATTGTAATTAGCTTAGGAATTGAACAAATAGTTGTTATAGGCTAAAAATGTATATGAAATCAAACTTTAGGATGCTTTGAATGAATGTAGATATCAATATGAAGAGGAACATGTAAAGAAAACAAAAAAAGCTTAAAATGATATTGAACAATTCAAATAATAATTAGAATGTATTTTTTATTATTTTTTTATGTATTTTTATAAAAAAAATAGAAACTTTAAAAATTTAACTAGAATAATAATTAAATGAAATTAAAATTAGAATGTAGTTTGAAAGATAAAAATTTGAAGAAGATAATAGATAATTTGTTTTGAAGCTTGAAAAATTAGAATAATTAAATACTTAATTATAGTAACAATTGTTATAAGCGTAAAATGTAGAAACAAATTCCTAAAAATGGAAATAAAAAATCGAAAAGTTAGAACAATTAAGAATCAAAGAAATAGAAAACATGAAATTAAATTTAGAATAATACAAAAATTTATAAGTCAATCAAAACAATACAGTTTCAGAAGCTGAAAGGACAGCATATAATACTCAGATTTAATAGCTGTAACATAAAGTATAAGAGTTGGATGAAAATTATAAAAATAAAATTATTGAACATGAAAAACTATAAAGAAGTAATGCTATTTTGTTAAGAGAAAGGTCAGAATTGAAAAACTCACTTAATAATTCTAATAATTAAGGTCAACTATAATTAGAAATATTAAATTTAAAAAATTAACTTATGGTAAATTTATTTCAACTTATTTTTACATATTATTAATATGAAGTAATTAAATGATGTAAAAGTTAATTATGAAACTCAAATAAAGAGATATGAAAGCAAAATAAGTTAATAATAAATATAAATTGAAACTTTATAAAATGAATTATAAAGATAAGTTGAACTTTTAGAAGCTAAAAAGAAAGAAAGAGATAATGCATTAAACGAAGTAAATATATTTTTTGTTTTTATATACTTAATTTTTTATGCAGGCAAACAATCTAAAAGTATAAATTCTTAACTTTTCTTCCTAAAATTAAGAATAAAATATTGATCTGTAATAATCAAAAATAGAAATGTTGTTAAAAGAAATTGAAGAAATGTATTTATATTTATATTTATGTATATATATTTTTTTTTAAATTATATTAGAACAAGAGCAAGAGATTTATATAAATAGTAATCAGAAAGAAAATCGCTTGAACTTACACAAAAAAATGTAGAATTAATTTAAAAAATAGAATAGTTAGATAATTTAAATATTGTCTATTAAGAGTCACTAAATAATATTCATATTCTTGAAGCTGCTGTAAACATTTATTATTTATTTATTTTTTATATTTTTATTTTAAATAATTAAAGCTTCTCGAAAGATTATAAAATGAAGAGATTTTAATATAATGATTAAAATAAAATAATAAAAAATTGATTAAGCATATACATTAATATGATTATTTTAATATATATTAATTGAAATTAAAATATATAAATACATATAATTTTTGTATTTATTTTATTTTAATAATTTTTCTTTTTTTGTAATAATTAATTTAAAAATTTATCTTTTTTTTATTTGATGAATATTTTTTTTAACACAATAAAAATAAAATTAAAAAAAACCATATAAAATAATAGAAATATAATATCATTTTGTTCAATTATTTAAAATTACATTATTTTAAAATATAAATTATTCTAATTTTAAATTTATAAAAAAATATTTTTCAATAAAAAATAATTGATTTATTATCATATGAATATATTGAACTACGATGTAAATTTATTTTTTTAAAAATCGATTCTAAATTTATAATTAGAAAAAAGAAAATTATGATTTTGTAGAAATAATTGCATAAACACATAATTATTCTTGTTTATATAAGGGGTTTTTACAATTTAATTTCAATTTTTTAATTTTAATACAAGATTAAACAAATTAAATGGTCTAACAGTTGCATTAAAAGAGATAAACATAATAGTATTAATTTATTACTAATATAAATAAATTTAAATTTATTTTTAAAGCAAAAAGACGATCTTTTAGATATTTGCAAAGAAATAAATAAAATGTCTAAATTTTAAGATGAATATACGATTAAAATATATGAGTCATTTATTTATGATAATAAACTTTATATTGTTATGGAATATTTTAATGAAGGTTCTGTTTAAGATTTGGTATTTTATATAAATAATATAATTCTATTTTAATTTAAACGTAAGATAAGAAAAAATGGACCCTTAAGTGAAGAATATATATGCATAATTCTTAAATAAGTTTTAATAGCATTAAAATATTTACATGATAATAATAAACTTCATAGAGATTTAAAAGGTAAAAAATTTATACATTAATAAAAACTTTTTTGTAAAAAATTTATATTAAATATTTCATAAAAATAAATAATTTTAATAAATGGAAAAAGCATCAAATATTATGCTTAATAGAGATGGTTCAATAAAATTAACTGATTTTTCTTTAAGTTAAAAGTTTACAGACATTTTAAGTAAAAATAAATAGCATTTAACAAGCTTACCATTTTGGTTATCTCCAGAAGTATTTATAACTAAATTTTTACTAAATAAATTAAAATATTAAAGACAATAAAATATTCTAAATATGATGCTAAAAGTGATATATGGTCTGTTGCTATAACAGCCTTAGAAATGGCTTATGGAAAACCTCCTTATAGTGATTTACCTTTGGGCAGTGCAATATTTTCTATTACAAATGAGGAATTATAAATAGATGAAGCTTTTTCTTCGTATATATTTAAATAATTTTTTTTTTCTATATTTTTTATTTTAAGATAATTTAAAGAATTCATTAAATTGTGCTTAAATAAAGTATCTTCTGAAAGGGCTTCATGTGGATCCTTATTATTAACAGATTTTATTTAAAGAGCTAAAAAAACTCAATTTTTGACTGAGATTTTTGAGTAAAAATCAATAATTAAATTCTTTTTTATTTTATTTTTTCTAATTTAGTGAAGGAATTAAATAAAAAAGAATTAATTAATAATAACTTGCAAATAATGAATAAAGGAAAACTTAAACTATTATTAAATTAGATAGTTAAATGCCTTAATTAGATTTAGATAAAACTGTTATAGAAATAAATAAAGAATAAAGCACTTAGCAAATTATTCATCAAAGATAAAACAGTCAAATTAATTAAGAATAAGAATGCTTATACTAGTCTATGAAAAAGGCTATAAAAAGTATTGAAAAACTTTCACCAGGGTTGACTAAAGAGGTAAAATTTATTGTTTTAATTTTTTAAATTTATGAATAGATAATAAGTGGGATTATAAATGAATATAAAAAAACAGGAGCAAGTGATTTTTAGATATTCTTCGATTGTTGAAAAAAAAATATATAAAATTATGTAAAAAAAATATAAAAATGTCATATATTTTAAATATTAAAAATGAGCAATAGTAATTAACATACAAATATTTTGTCTGATTAAGAATATTTTTATTAATATATTTATGAAATAAATATTATCAATATTAATTTAAAATTAAATATTTTTGATAATATATTTAATTATCTAAATAATAGAAAATAATAATATAAGCAATAAGAGTTATTTTTAATTTATTTTTTTTTCATTGAAAAATTAATTTTCTCAGAATATTTTATATATAATTTAATTAATATAAAGATATTTTTAATAATTTATTATTTAAATATTATTGAAAAAAATATCTCTTAAATTTTTATAATATATTTTTTAATATTAAAATTAAATTATTTATTTTATTTGAAATATATTTTTTTTTAAAGTGAATATGTTTATATCTTTTTATAATATTGCAATAAGTTATTAAGTTATAATTTTAATTTTCTTTATGAAAGCATATATAAAAAAATTTATTAATCTTTAAATAGACTAAAATATATATTAAAAAATTATTTCAATGAATATTGACATATATTAAATAAATAAAAAAACTCAATAATATATATATGATTTTAATAAAAATCCAAGAAACCAAAACATTATTTTTTTAAAAAATCTTTCTTTAGTTATCAAAATCTTTACCACTGAATCTTCATTAAAATTTATATAAACGGCTAATATATTTCAAAAAATTATAAAAGGCTTAAGAAGTTATAAGAGCTTAAAAAAATGTTTAAAAATAAATATAAAATCAATAAAAATGGAAACATAATATATTCTTTAAATCTTATTAAGATTTTAATGATGGATAATTTTTATTAAAAAAGTAAAATATTTTGACAAAAAGTAATAAAAATTAAATAATTTAAAAAAATAAAGAATTTATAAATTATATAAAAATTAAAAAGAATTAGCTTCTTAATTAATATTTTGATTTGAAAATAAAAGTCATTAGCTAAAATAAAAAATGCTTACTTTTAGTTCAGAAAATAAATAAAAATTATAATATTATAATCAGATATATAATTAATTTTATAAATAACAGACGAATAAATCAATAATGAAAATGGAATTAATTATATATAAAATTTTATATGTACTTTAAATATTATTTCTTCTTATTCTAGTTTTCTCAATATATTTCCAAGATAAGATAATTCAATCAAAAATTAGATATTTAATATTTAGTAATAATACGAAGATAAATATTTGAAATATTCTATTGAAAAATAAACATTTCTTAAGATTTTAATTTTATAGAAAATATTATAAATTTTGTTAAATTTGTTTTTAATTTTATAAATAGTAGAACATATTAGAGTAAAAACAATATTAATAAATTATTAAATTAAAAAATTAATGTAATTATCATTGAAACTATTATTTAAAAAATCACAACAATTCTTTTATAACAGATATAGAAACTAAAGAATTTTAAATTGCATTTATATAATTTAGCAATAAATAAATTTAATCCATAGATTTATTATAATAAATAAGAAGAATACTAGCTTAAATAAATTATTGAGTATTTTTTTAAACAGCATAAGATCAAATATTTAATATTATAATGAAAACTAATGTACAATTAATAACTAACTTAATAATAAAAATGCTAATTGATGGAGATTATAAAATGTTAGGAAGACAATTTTATTAATTTAAGTTTTAAAAGATATTTTTTTAAAAAAAAGTCGTACTTTAAATATTTAACGAAAAGCTTAATAATAATATAGAATTAATTCGAAATTCTGAAAAAAATAGAAAATTTATTTGTTTCTAATACCAGCCATATTTTTAGAATAGAAATTTTTAAGAAAACATATGAAGAAGAAATAATTTTTTTGTATATTATTAATAAAACTTTAAAGCATTATATTAATTTTTTATATAGAATTCATTTTTAAAATTATTCAAAAGAATTCTTATAACTTTATAAATAATATTTCTATTCCTTTGAATTTGCTAAAGACAAATAAATTTTAGATAAGTACTAATGTTTTATTATTGATTTAGAATTAAAATTTTAATTATTATATCGTTTAAAGATCTAAAATTTTAATGTTCATAATATTATTAATGATTCATAATACTTATTAAATTTATTATTTTAATAAAAAGAATAATTATTTTTATGATAGTGTCTCTTTTAAATATTTAAATATTTTCAAAAAAATTGTATGAGCTTTTTTATATTCATACATACTTAACTTATTTAAGATATGTTTTCTGCATATTATATATATTTAAACATATTTTAAATTAATATTGATAATTAAATTATTAATTTTAAGCTAAAAACTTGGATTATCTAAAAAAAGATAAATTTGAAATTAAAAACAGTATAATAATAAATATTGAAATTTTTAAAATAATTTAAACTTTGTTTTATTAATTAAAAAAATAAATAAATAAAAAATATTTTTCAATATATATAATAAGATAAATAATTATAAAAAATTTATATTGTTTTAAATAATAAAATTTGAAATAAAAATGAAAATATTTTGATATTTTAAATGAAAAAATCAATCATCAAAGCTAACTATAACTTTAGCTACAGAATGTATTTTTTAATCAGTAATATATATAATTTCCCCTTCCTTATAAATATTTTATTAAGCAAGCTAATCAAAAGTCATTTCTAGCTTTTCTTTATGTAGATCTCTCATAACAACTGGAATAATTAATCTTCCATCTTGACCAGTCAAAGAAGGATCTAAAAATTCATATGGTTTACTTTATAATAATTTTTAGAAATCTTTCAAAAGCATATTTTTACTAATTTTTATTTTAATTGGAGTATTTGAGCATATAAAGCAATTTGGGTTTTTCTCATATTTAAAAGTTAAAGTATGCAATCTAAAAAAATAATTTAAAATTAAAAAGAATATTAAAAGATACCCTTCGTTTCCCATATATTGAAAATAATCTTAAACAACATAACTACAATCAGTAATAGCCTTAACAGCCTCATTTACACATGCAGCCGCTATTATTGCATTTGTTGAAGCAATTGCAGGAATTATATTTTTTACTACACCCATTGTCATCATATAATCAACTCCTTCAATATTAAATTATTATGCTCTTTAAAGTGCTGTTTGAAATACCCATTGCATATCTTCTATGCTATCTTTATCAAGTTTTTTGTCTGGAAATTATTTTTTCCATTCAATTAAATAAGCATAAGCTACGCAATGAGCAGGAGTTCTTGGAGTATTGGCAATTGTACAAATGTTATAAGTTTCTTAATTTGGTAAAGTTCCTAAAGTACATTCATAACAAGCAGTTTAGAATGGTTTTATGACCTTATTTTTCAATAAAATATTAAATGCTATTTATAATTTATATTTTTTTAATTTTATACTCTAGCTTATCCTTTAAATCCTTCAGTGCCACCATCTATTAAAAGTATTTGATTTTCTGGAATTGGTTAATTATTATCATCAAATTCACAAAGTCCATGGACAAGCGAATTTAACCATCTTCTTGCTCCGACATTATCTAACCCTGAAATTATAATTTGAAATTCTTTATAAAATGAATCAGTTTTTTATTCTATTCTCCCTACATGAGCTGTCACTTTACACCCTGGTACTCTTTTTTATTTTAAAAAAAATATTTAACTTAATTTACCTATTCATAATAAATTTAGCCGCTACTTCACTTTTAAATTTACCAACATCATCCTATCTAAATAAGAATTACCTATTTAAGTTAGTTAAATCGATAGTATCTAAATCTATAACATGGATATCTTTTACTCCAGAAAGAGCTAAATTTTTTAATATTTCACAACCAAGTCCTCCAGCTCCAATAACAAGAACCTTTGCTTATTCTAAGTAACAATTAGTAAGCTCTTCACTAGGAGCAAAATTAGGACCTTTGAACTAAGTATCTCTTTCGAAAATATTTTTTAAGTCTCTCCAACGATTGTTTTCATTTATTTCGATATCCATTTTTATCTAATCTATAATATATAATAAATTTATAAAATAAATTATTTTTTATAAAAACTTTTTTAAAAAAAAAATTTATAAAAAAAAAATATGATAAAAAAATTAATTATTTATTTTTATTAATTTTTCATTTGAAATTTATTAAAAAAAAACAGTAATGAACAAATAAGTCATTAATAAAATAATTAAGGATAAAAATAAGTAAATAATAAATATAGTTTAGAAAATAATTATTGAATTGAAGTCATGTCTTTAAATATTTTTAATTAATTTTTTATTTAATTAAAAAATTAAAAAAGAAATATAAAAAGTAAATAAAATTTACTATTTATATATTATTTCTTTTTATTTTGTTAAAATTAAAAATAATAAATATAATTTATATTCTATAAATAATATATTTTTTTTACATATTTGATTAAATATATTAATTTTTAATCAAATAAATTTATATAGATGTTTTCTCAATAAATAGTCATATAATTTTGTTCTATCAAAAATTTCTATTATTAAAACCATAATTTATATAGTATTTAATATCAAAAATGTATTAGATTTTAATAAAGTAAAAAATAATGTATTTACTTTTAATATTTGAATTTATATATATACAATTGATATTGACAAAAAATGCTTTTTTTTGGTGGCCATTTTTTTTAACAATTTTTTCATTTTAATGCGAATCGATAGTCAAAGCTGAAGTCAAACAAATTTTATTATTAATAAACTGTTGTTGATAAAAATTTAATTATTATTTATATATAATAACATTTTTTAGAATTTTTTTTTTTAATAAATTCGCAAAATTTTCCGAAAAAAAATATTTCACACCGAGTTATTTGCTCAAAATATAATATTCAGATAAATCTAGAATATAAATAAATCAAAATGCTCATATATAATCTAAAATTTTATACGAAATTTCGAAAAAAACAAATATAATTTCTTTAGAAAAGTAATAATTATATTTACCAATTTTTCTATTCCATACCCTATTCAAACAGATCAAATAATGAAAACTGTGTAACGGCTTTCAAAAATAGTTTTTAACGCAAAAATTTATTAATTATTTTCAAAACATTTTTTTATATATATGATTTTTATTTATATGGAAATTATATATACAATTTTTTCAAAATATAAATGATATATATATTATATTTATAATAAATAATATAATTTTTTATTTATTTTTTTAATTTTGGGTATATATATAAATATAATTTTTAAAATATATTATTAAAAATTATTATTTTATTTAAAAAAAAATTTTAAGTAGATTAATGCATCTAAGAAAGTGAAATTAAAAATATCCAAAACACCATTTGGGACATATACCTCATACCCTTAATCAGAAATCAAGATAACTTATTAATTCATTGTAACTAAAAACTCGATATTCGATATTAGACATGATTATAAAAAATCTTAATGCATAAGAATGTATGCAACTTTTAATATTATAAATTAAAAAAAATACTAACCTAAACCCAAAACATAATGCTAATCTAAACCCAAAACATAATACCAACCCAATCATTATTCGAAAATATATTTTTTTCATAAATAAATAAAAATATTTATTACAATAATATTAAAAAAAAATATAATACTGAGTTATTAAAATATAATTTTAATCCAATTTTTATAAATAAAAAAATATTTTCAATATATTAAAATTAATTTTAGATAATATATATAAAAAAATATTTTTATATAGAATGTATATATGAAATAATAAAAATAAAGTATACAATATGATTTAAAAAATAAAAAGTAAGATTAATTGTCACAGAAAAGATAAAGTTGTTCTAGAATATTTTTTAATTATATAATATAATATTTTGTGTTTAATAGATATTTTAGTTTTATATTAAAAATATAAAAAATAATATTTTTTTTATATTTTAAAATTTGTAAAAAATTGATTTAATAAGATTTTTGGATGTTTTAGTATAATCTTTTATGCTTTTTTGACTTATTTTATAAATTTTAAATTTTTAAACATTTAATTTAAATTTAAAATTATTTTAATAATTATATTTTTTTTTTTATGTATTTTAATTTTCATTTTTATTTATAGCATATATATGATATAAAATATATATTTAGATTTTGGTATTGATTTAGGTATGTTTTAGTTCGGATTTAAAATAAAGTTTGTTATTAAGATTGTTTTGAAATTGGGTGATGGATTTGATTTTTCGTCTATTTTTTTTTAGGGTTGGAATTTGGGATTTGGGGTTTGGGGTTGGGGTTGGGGTTGGGGTTGGGGTTGGGGTTGGGGTTGGGGTTGGGGTTGGGGTTGGGGTGGGGTGGGGT